TCTCTACACAGCTGTGCCCCAGGCTTCAGCAACTGTGTGAAAACAAAGGATTCCAACCACCTACGGAGTGGCTCGCTTTTATTTTTTGGTTGTGAGTATTCCTTATTTTCTCACAGACCACAGCATTCATTATAAAGATGTTTTCAGATGCGTGATACTCAGCCATGTCTTTCTGCACAAATGTGTGCTCTGCAGAACAGAAACGGGCTCCCTGCTCTCGGGAGCTGGCAGCTGGGTCTGGGTTGAGATGAGCATCACTGACCATTTGCTCAGAGGCGCAGAGCCTCCCTCACCATCCAGTTTCAGTTTCTCCACTGTGCTCGTCAGAGTTTGAAAGGCTACCTTCTCACCTGTATATTTGCTTACTGTATGTCTTACCCTGGAAGGCTTAAGTTCCTTGAAGCTCCTTTGTTCACTTTTATATTCCCAGTACTGAGAACAGTGCTTGACTTGTGGTATCAAGGGATCTCTGTTGAGGGAGGTATCGATGCTGGATGGGTGGATGAGTGAGTGGGTGGGTGGGTATTGGATGGATGGACAGATAGAAGGGTACGTGGACAGGTGGCTGAGTAGGTTGGTGATAGATGAATATATTCATAGGGTGTTGAATGCTTGGATGGATGGATGAATGGATAGATGGGTGGATGAGTGCATGGGTGGGTGGATAGATGAATTGAGTGGATGGGTGGATGGATGGATGGGTGAGTGGATGGGTGGATGGATGGATGGGTGAGTGGATGGATGGATAGATAGATGGATGGATAGATGAATGGATGGATGGGTGGATAGGTAAGTGGATGAGTGAATAGATGGATGGGTGGGCGGATGGGTGGATGGGTGGAGGGATACATGGAGGGTGGATGGGTAGAAATACAGATGGATATAGTTGGATAGATGAGGAAAATGTCCTGCACCTGCTCTAGGATGGTGGTGCAAGAAGACACAATGTACCTGGTTTCCGGGGCCAACAGTTACTGGTTTCCCCATCTTTAGACTTCCCATCCCCCTATTTGTTGCTATTGAAGAAAAAGAAATTCTGATATATTCAATGCAATATTTTTATATCTCCTGCTAGTTGCTACTACTTGCAGTGGCAGAATTGTTTAACTATGACTTTTCATCATTTCAGAAGGAGTTTCTCTCTAGCCTGTGCCTGGGAAGGTAAACAGAGGGGAAAGGAAGGCTGAGCCAGGAACAAAACTCAGAGCACATCCCCTCCCTCATTGTTCTTTTGGGAAGCAACACAGCAGGGCTCTCCTCATTTTCTCTGTCAATGCACTTTCTGGAGTATGAATGTGGCATTAGATGTTAGAGGCAGGGATATGTAGCAATGCTCATGGTGCCTTCAGTTTGTTTTAACCGAATTCTTATTTCATGGCAAGCACAGCTAACAGTTTGTATAGTCTCTTCCCAAGGACAAACCCAGAGCACCTTGCAGACTGCTGGGCCCAGGGTCTGAGAGCAGGGCCTGTATCCTGTAACGCAGGCGATCCATCCTGGGCCTCCCAGGGTGGCCATCCTGTCTGACCTTTCCCAAGGGACCACCCATGGGTGTTTACGTTCTGAGCTGGAAGCAGCTCTGTTTAGGCAAGGCCGCCTTCCGGGCTGGCTCAGCACATGGCACGGGGAGGAGAGGATGAGAGCAGTGGGACTCCGCCCAGGCGACCTGCGACGGCCCATGCTCAGGGGGCAGCCTGGGCTCTCAGCTGGCGCCTCTGCTTCCTTCTGCCCCATGCCACTGGCTCCAACCTCTCCACCATCACTGTCACTTCTGAGGTGGCCTCTGACTGAGGGCACAGGTGTTGCAGCCCCTTGGGGAGTCTGGGTTCTGTGGAGGGCTACGCCTTGCCTCAAGCAGTCTCTGCCCCCACCCACTTCCTGAGGAGTTGGGGGTCGAATACTGCCTGCCACACACCCTGGACACCACAGCCTGGGAGGTGACTCAGCCTCAGGTCTCAGTCCGCCCTCTGCCCTGGTCCCAGCCCGAGGCCCTGGCTGCAGGAGGGCTTGCCTGAGTTCTTGCCTGAGTTCTTGCCTGAGCTCTTGCCTGTGTTCTTGCCTGAGTCCTTGCCTGTGTTTTTGCCTGAGTCCTTGCCTGTGTTCTTGCCTGAGTTCTTGCCTGAGCTCTTGCCTGAGTTCTTGCCTGAGCTCTTGCCTGTGTTCTTGCCTGAGCTCTTGCCTGTGTTCTTGCCTGAGTTCTTGCCCGTGTTCTTGCCTGAGTTCTTGCCTGTGTTCTTGCAGGAGTGCTTGCCTGTGGCTTGTCAAACAGATTTCTACTGTTACCCAACTTTCCTTGTGAACAAACACGCACTGCAGGGGATTTAGGTGATAAGACTGACCAAACCCATCACGAGTTTATGCTTTCCATTATTTTGTCTCATGTACATTTTAAAAATAAAATGAAATCACTGACATGTGACTTTGTACCCAGACATTAAATTAATTCACCACAACTTTCCAAGTCATTGTGTTTCATGGTCTCCGATGAAAAGGGCGACACCAGCTGAGCTCCTTTGGCAGCTCCTTTCCTGTGGCCTCTCCCTGTCTCCATGTCCCGGGGGCCCAGCTGGAGCCCTTGTCGCTGGGCTGTCTCGATTCCTTGACTTCCCCCTGCGCACCTGGTCTTCTGTGTCCCTTCTGCACTCTGCGTGGGCTTGCAGCTCCCATCCTTCTGCTGTGGTTCCTTCAGTGACAGCGGGTCGCTCCTGACACTGAGCTGGGTCACCCCGCTCTGGGTGACACAACTCGGCTTCCTGAGCATGGGGTACAGAAACAACTGGACCAAACTCCTGCGCCTGGCTCTCTGGCTCCAGCTGTCTTTCTCCTCAGGGGTGCTGTGCCCATGGTTCTGCTTAGAAATCTTCTCATGCATCTCTGCAGTTCTGTCTTCTTTCCTTTTGTAAAGTTACTTATTTTAGTAGACAAATGAAAGTTGTGTCTATTTACAACACGATGTTTTGGGTTATATAAACACTGTGGAGTTGTGAAATCAGGCTAATTAGTGTACGCTTCACTTCACACACACACCATTTTCTATGAACACATAAAATAACAGCTGGGTCTAGTAGCCCATGCCTGGAATCCTAGCACCTTGAGAGGCTGAGGCAGGAGGATCGTTGTGAGTCCCATGTGCTACATAGGGAGTTCAAAGCCTGCCTGGGATACATAGCAAGACACTGGCACAAACAAACAAAAAGTAAAATAAAACTGTCTCAGTCGTCCCTGAGACTACAGCACCCTGCTTTCAGCCACTGACTTGCGCTATGTATTTCTTCTCTCGTCCTTCTTCCCCAAGTCTCTTGCTGTGCCTACCTGCGGGACTTCTCCACCCACCCAGATGGCCACATTCCTACCCTGCCACCTCTCCATTTCACTTTACAGTTGCCGGTCAAGGTCTAAAACTGTTGCAGTTGCTTATTTTTGTCTTTAGGAACTTGTTGAGTTTCCCCTCCACTGGGGGCCTCCTTCAGGTTTCCTGGACAGAACAGGTCGCTGAAAGTGTGTGTGGATGAGCAGCACAGTACCCTGGGCTCAGGAGAACACCCTGCCCCGAACCTCCCAGGGCACATGTCCTCAGCTCAGAGTTCTGGGCAGTCCTGAGCCACCAGCCAGGCTGCAGGTTGGTAGCTCTGCCCCTGGGCCCAGGTCTGCATCCTGCAGGGAAGCAAGAGGAGCCTTGGAGGAGAAATTGTGGGCACCAGGCTGAAGGGAGACTGCTCACCTGGTGTCACTCAGGTGATGCCTCCCAGTGTAGACGGAAGTGCTCATGTTCAAGGTCCTGTCCACTGCCAGTTAGGACCCAGCACTCACAAGGACTCTTCTGACAGAAACACAGCTCTGACAGCTGGCATTCACTGATTCCCACAGGCTCAGCACCTTCTGAGTGCTTGGGGTAAGCATCAGCAATGGGGAAACTGACAGAGGCTGGATGAGCTGCTGAAGGTCATAGACCCGGAGGCTATTCCAGGCTTGAAGTCCTAACCACTGCAGTCCATGGTCTAGCATGGGACAGGTAGTTACTGCACCATTCAAGAAGCTGGCCCTGCCTACAGGTGTGGAGAGGCAGTGCCCCTATCCTGATGTGACAAAGGTCATGGCTGGCACCATCCCAAAGCAGAGGTCAACGAGAGAAAAGCAGAACACAAGACAGACTGGGTGATCATTACTGCATATGACAGGGAACCTTCAGGTTCAAGACCCAGGACTGCATTTACTCTCAAGTCTCAGGAGACTGGACAGTGGTGTAGAAACTGAGACTGGACAAAGATCTTACATGATGGTGACAGACCAGGGCCCAGCGAGGTACAGTGCAACCCATGTTCCTTCCTCTGGGGATGGGGCACAGCCTCTGGAATAGGGTCTCACAAGCTCTCGGGAGAGTCAGAGGGTATGGCTGGCTCCCAGGCAGGAAGGAGGAGGAAGGAGAGGTCAGAGGAAGATCTCAGGCTTTCTGGCCAACTTCCAGGCAAGGGGGTTTTGGGGCCCATCAGGGGAAGGACCTCTGGGTTTCATGGCTGCCTGGGGAGGGTGGGAGCAGGAGGCCAAAGGGTGGCAGACCTGGAAGGGAGACTCTTCTGAGGCCTTAGCTGTGGGACACTGCTTTCTGACACACGAAGCTGCCTCTGTTCGTGGCTCCCCGACCCCAGGGCAGCAATCAGTGACTTCAGTGGGAAATTGTGTGTGTGTGTGTGTGGCATTACACAGTAGACCTTCCCATCGTCCTGTGCCATGGGAACAGCTCCTCCAATCCTCCAGACCTCACTGATCAGTATGGTAAACCTGACTGAAGCTCAGAGGCTCAGCGACTGACCCCAGGTCACGTGAAATCAGCCTGCTCCCAAGTCCATGCGTCCGTCTGCACCACAGCAGTCATGGCTCACAGCAGGGCCACACGGTTAGCGATGTCTGAGGATGAATGCAAAAGAACCAGGGCCGTAGAAACTGCAGGATGTCAACTGCTACACAGCGTCTGTGACCAAATCAGTACAGGGTCTGCAGTATGTAAGTTAATCATTTATTTACATATAGAGAAAAATACTCTACATACTGGATTAAAATTTTGCAGCAGAAGTATCTTTAAATTGGTATTAAACAGTGCTTAACTGGGTGGTATATCCTGTGAACAAAGGAATGATTTTTTTTTTATAATTCTCCAAGAAGAAAATAATAAACTTTAATTCATGGTTACATAGTTGGCTGGAAAAATGCCAGTTTGGCCTCGAAGTTTTCCTTCCCACCAATCGAAGTGTGAATCCGTTTTTGATATAACTGTGATTTTGTCTCCAGCTTGAAACATCAGGTCGCCTGGCTGCTGTCCTTCAAAAGAATACAGCGCTGTCACCTCTACTGGTCGACCAGAGTCACCTGGAACAGGAAAGAGAATTCAAATTAGTAACACTTTCTAGGGAAACCTAAGCTTTTCTCCTTTGAAAAGCAAATGCATGGCAGGACCGTTTCCCAAATCCTTGTAAGTCGGAACTACACATTATTCTACACCTAACTCTATTTAACAAGCATCTGTGGTTAGAACTGTTGGGGCTTTGAATAATCTGTAAGATGAAATCACCATACTGCACTTTTCCCATTTAATGACTAGTCACTGCTGTGGTCCAAAAGGTTCCTTCCTGTGCTCATCCGCCGAAACCCTAAGATCCCCGAGACAGCTCTCTGAATTACAGTCGTTCGAAAAGAGCTGATGCAATGACTGCATCCCTAAAGATCCCATCCCAAGCCTGTACTTTTAGCCAGGTGTGCTAGCTGGCAACTGTAGCCCCAGAATTCTAGAGGCTGAGGCAGGAGGGTCACTTGAGCCCAGGAATGCATGACCAGCCTGGCCAACACAGCAAGGCCCTGTCTCAAAAAGAAAATAAAAAGTACATTCCTAAGCCATCGGTTTTGAGGGCGCAGCTCAGAAATGTTTTGGGGTCTGGTGCATCCTTCTTCCTCTCTGTGCTCCTGGTGTATTCATCTTTGCACTCACGTGGCCTTCCCTCTCCACACAGACGTGGAGCTGAAACAGCCTAGGGAGACGCAGGTCTGTAACACTGTGCAAGGGAACGTGTCTAACCCACTCTTTGGTATTAGAGAACTGGGTGGCTAACACGGGAAGAAGACATTACATTTAAATTGTTTAATCACCTCCAAATATTGAGAAATGGACACTTTTTTAATATTCTCAAATACATGGGGCTTGATTATTCTACATTTCATGTAATTTTGTGCATATTAGGCAATTTGATACTGTTAAATGCACCTAAGATAGGCAGAAAACATGAATAACCACATTCTGACACCCATTTCTTTTGAACCCCTAATTACCACTATAACAAAAACTGAATGTGATCCATCTGGTAGAAATGAGAATCACTCACACTTTCACTACACCACAGCCTGGAGCCCTTGCAAGAGGTGGGTACCATCCTGTCCCTGGGGCTCTCAAATAATGTCCCAGAAACAACACAACACAACACAACACAACACAACACAACACAACACAACACTAGAGAGGCTGCCGGTATAACCAGCTGTCTTCTGTAATATAGAATGTCCACAGTTTTCACATCTAAGATACTCTATTTCTTTTTCTTCTGTCAATTTTAAGGGATAAAGGTTAAGAAATGTCAGGAAAACCAAACTTTTGACGTGATTTGGAAATCTAAGCAAGTTAATCACCTGCTGGTGGGAATGAGAAGTCACCACATAGCTGCGGAAAGAGGCTGACACTGCAGCAGGACCAGGGACCACGAGCTCGCGCTGCATTCCCGCATCCCACTCCCGCATTCCCTGTGGTGAGGCTGGAGAGCTGGAGCTAGGCTGAGGGAAAGCTGTTTCTGAAAACATTCTCCCGAAAACTGGATCTGCCAGCTCCACATTTTGGGCCAGGCCAAGAGGGTGAGAGCGCCAGCTCCCCCTTCCCTCCCCACTCTTCACTCCCTCCCTCCCCTTCTTCCTGCTCCCCCACCCAGTCCTCGGTCCTCTTCCCTTCTCCCACTTCAAGGTAATAGGCTGGAATATAAAAATCTGGTTCGTGGCTACTTTGGTTTAAATATTTATACTTGGACCCCTTTTCTCTCAAAGGACGTGTATCCAAGGTCAAACCACTGCACAAGGGAAGTACATCTTGGAACCTTCCCAAGATTTCTGGCATCCCTAAGACCAGCCTGGTCCCACTGAAGCCAACTCCCCGCAGGACGCTGGCCTGGGACGTTTGGCCCAGCAAGCAAGAAGCCAAGACGCCAGGTCCCTCAGGAGAGAGACTCTTAACCTATTTTTACCTGCCTTCCTGATAGAATTTCAAAAAAAATTTGATACCTAATTTTTCTGACATTTTATTTACATGAAATGGTTAATTACTTAACAGTTTAATTCAGTAGTGGATTGTTTTGTGACTTTCTAACAAAAAAATAGGATTCTGTGGCTGTTTAATTTTAGCCCTCACTCCCCTTCTATAAATAACTGCTTGATCCTTTCAAGGAAAATTTCTAAAGAATATTTAAAAAGATAGCTTGAAGGACTCTTTTTACTATAGAAAATCTTTAAAAAGAAAAGAAAATCTTAGTAACTTTAAAGTAGTTCCCAATAATATTGAAACATCTGAACGTGAAAAAAAATACCTTGAAATAAAAAACTCACAGGGCCCAGGCCTAGAGAAAGTGCGTGGCTGGGCCCTGGTCACCCTCGTGATCCCCACTCAGCAGCCACCAGAGGACAGAAACACAGCACTGTTAATGCCGCACTCCTAAAACCAGTGTGGACGGTGTATGAATCTAAGGATGCTGAAACTCCCCTACAGATTTTCAGAACCTTTCCAAGGGATGTGAGGGTCTCTTACTCTAAGATGGATACGAATCATTTTAAGAAATAAATTTTTTATTTACCAGCTCTCTCGTGATAGCCAGAGAGCTCAGGATACAGCTTATGTTCATGTCTATTACCTGCAAAAGGGCAGGGGGGAGATTCAGAAAATGCATTAGTATACAGAGAATGGAAACAAGAAATAGTTTTTAAGAAACTTTAAAGATAATACTCTGTAGCTGTAAGAAAGCATCCTATGAATAAGAACAGAAGTTTCCACTAATTATAGCAGTGGCGAATTTGTCTTGCAATGTAGAAGAGGCTGAGTACTTCTCTTTTCAACACCCATTTTTTCCATTTGATTCTAAAGCGCAACAGTGTTTTTTGATTTCTTAACAATAACATTTAACAGTTAGTTAAGTAACATTTAATAGTTACTTAACAATAACATTAAATAGTTACTAAATCATAATTGTATTTAAATCGCAATGAAAGTACTAACCTTGAGAGCTGGAGTCCAGCTGGAGTGGTGCTGATGGTTGCTGTAGTCTCAATGCTGGCTTTGGAGGTAATTCTTTAGCCTGCAGGGAAGGAGAACAAATACACCCAGTTCGGAAACCTGTTTTTACTTAGGAGTCTTGGCTTCTCACGGGTGTATGCAGCAAACTTTATCCTATGCCCTCACTAACAAGACACCTTTGCAGCTCACACATGCTTTGGGGTCCCCCTCACTGGGGCTGGGTAGTGAGTTAGACATGGACAAGCGAGGGTGCTTCTCATCCCAGGCTCCTCACCAGGCCCCACTGACCGACTGCAGGTGTGTGGGGCCGCAGTTGTGGCCATCACAGGCTGTGTAGGAGTGGGGACAGGCTGTGACCCCTCAAAAGCTACGCTTTGGTTTCATTCTGAACAACCCAGAAGAGTGTGGTGGGGTAAGGAGAAGAAGGCCTACGAAAGCCTCATTCAGTACTGCAGGGCCCAGAGGGGCAGGCACTCAGGAATACCTGCTACTAATAATACCCTCAGTATCACACAGCTTGGCCCAGAGAGAAATGCAATCACAGAAGACAAACTGTCCTTGAAATCTGCACAGATGAAACCCCAGCGTCATAAGGCATTTTCCCAAGGACTTCATGTGGGACACAGCATTGTACAGGAGAAGTTGCCTATGATTGTGGAGAGGACAGGGACCCCATGCCCATGGAAGGACCTTCTGCTGCTCCCGGGCTGCTCTCCTCATGTTGATGCGCTGCCCCTCATGCTCATACTTTTCAGTGAAGGAATCGAGAATTTCATAGAGATCTTCTGCCTGAGCTGGACGTGGCACATCTCCAAACAAAATGTCGTAGGCGCGGATGTCCTGACCATAAAATCTAGCAACAGGAAGTTAAGAACATTTCTGTAACAGACGTGGGTCTTTCCTGGAGCTGAGAGCAGCGTGTGTACACATACACGTGGTAACCCAGGCCTGCACCTCACTCGTGCTGCTTAAGTGCAGCCTGTGCCACCTCTGCCTCACCCCAAGCCCAGCTCCAGAGCAGTGACCAGAATGTTCTGGTGTGACTCTTCCTCCACGAGACACACACATGCTTACACACATGTGCACACATTCACAGAGAAATGCTACAGAAACACACATACAGGCACAGACATTTCCCTAAGTTTTTTTCTAAGTTTCTTACAAAAATGGGACTACACATAGGACTTTGCAGTTTCTTTACAATGTTTATTTTTATCAAAACTAAATAAGGATTTGCTTTCTATGTTTGGAAGCCTTGCAATTCATTAAGGAGTATATTTGTTTTAGTTTATCCAGGATCTAGCTAAGCATCAGTGGAAAAGTCTGCCCAAGCCCAGGATCAGGAGTTTCTAAAAGCATTCTTAGGTTACATCAAATTAATCAGAGCAGAAGTAAAAGCCGCAGTCCTGATTCTGGAGACGAAAGTTCTGCGAGCCCTAGTTTTCACCGCTGCCAACATTTTCCAGTCTGTTTTCCATTTCTATTTCAAATATGCTGTTGATTTGTCCAGGGCCCTGGCTGTGACCTTTCCCAGGTCCTCACCCCACAGCGGTGGCCTGTCGCCGCTCTGCAAGGCTCCCACAGGCTGTGGTGGAGGAGCCCGCTTGGGCCTCAGCTGCATCCCTCCCTGGCTCATGGGTGCCATTTCTCAGACTTCTTTGGAAAGAGCACCCCCTTCACCTCTTAAGATTCTTCCAAATCAGTTTTTTTTTTTTTAAGTCAAACTGAGCTGGGCACAGGGGTACAAACCTCCCTGCACTCTGGGAGGGTGAGACAGGTAGACTGCAAATTTGAGTCCATCCTGGGCAGCTTGGTGATACTGTCTCAAGTAAAAACATAAAGGAGTAGGGATGTAGCTCAGTGCAAAGGCCCTGAATTCAACCCCCAGAACCGAAAGAAGAAAAAGACAAAAAGCCCCAGAAACCCCAAACTGTATTTTAATCAAAATTGGTCTGTATTTGACATAGAAGACAGACGCAGAGCCTAGTAATAGGAGATCTCCCACAATGAGTCGTTTTCCACTGACCCTCAAGTTTATCTGGCATGCCCTCCACAATGCTTGGAAAATATTCTTAATATGATGTCTTCAACTGGCAGAGTATTTCATGATCACTAACTTATAATCTTAGAATGTGAAGTGAAAAAACTCACATCTATAGTGAATATATATCATGATTGTAATCGTGTTTGGCAAAACGAAGGAAAATTAAGCTGAGGAAAACACTGGAAGGCAAAAAAATTAAAATGCAAATGATGTTAGTTTTAGAGGGGTAGAATTTTTGTCCTCTCTTTTTCCTAAATATTCTATAAGTACATATTATTATCTTGAAATTTTAACATAAAATATACACTAAATATACAGCCACATCTTGTATTCAAAAGAAAAATGGACTCCATAAATTCTAAGAACTGCATCGGTTTTGAAGCATTGGCTCATCTCACGCTTTTAAGCCAGCTGCAGGGCGGGTACTTACTTCCGGTTGGTCTCCTTCCTTTCGATCAGGCAGCTCCCTTCCAGTGAGATGCCGGCAAAGAGGCCCCTAGATCTGCAGTAGGTGAAGACGGCTGCTGGGCTCCTGAGGGCCACATTGCCTTCCAGATTCCTGCCAGGGCAGAGATGGAGATCATGCTGGGAGGTGGGGTCACCTCTGCTGGCCGAGCTGGAACAGGACTGTGGCCCAGGGTAAAGACGGCGACCCTGGTGAGGCAGGGATGGCACGACGGCAATGGGTCCCAACACGGAATCCCAGGAGAGCCAGTCTGCATTCTTGCATGGAGCATTTTCACCCAGCTGGGCAGACACTTTTCAGACTGTTTTGCTTCCAGAAGGAGTCTGCAGAGCCATTTTTCTACATGGCTCAATTAACCCATTAGCATTTCAGGCTGGGCGTGGTGATCCATACCTGTACTTGTAATCCCAGCTACCAGGGAGACTGAGGCCAGCCTGGGCAGCGTAGCAAGACTCAGCCTCAAGGTTTATTCTAGTTCCTGTTTTAGACAGGGACTTGCTATGTATTCCAGGCTGGCCTTGAACTCACTATGCAGCTCAGGTTGGCCTCGAGCTCTTGATGATCCTCCTGCCTCAGCCTCCTAGGAACTGGGATTACAGGTGTGTGCACCTTCCCTTCTGTCTCAACATTTAAAAAAGGCGGGGATGTAGCTCAGAGGTAGAGCCCTTGCCTAGGATGTCCGAGGCCCTGGGTTCAATCCCCAGCACTGCAAAAAAGAATATTTTATTAACAGAGAAGGAAAATGCACTTTAGGTTTTCCAAACATAAGATATATGCACTTCATTTTCATGATTTAGTGTGAAAAAATATTTTTCTTCCCGACTAATGCTGTCCTTTATCAGTTAAGAAAATTTAACTTGCTTTGGCTCAGCCTCAAAGCCTGAGGTAAGTTTTATGTTTAATTCCAACAGAAACCACAGCCTGTGTTTGTGAAACACTTTTTCTTCTTGTGTGTTCTGGTTTCAGATTTTCTGGTTCATCCCACAGGCTGTGTTTTGTGAATTTTATGTCTGCTGTGACCTCCAAAACTCTGGATAAGCTTGTTCCTTTTAATTCAAATTTCCTCTTAATGCAAAAAAAATGTAGTTTTTCAGTCTTTACTCTTTGACATCTATTCTAAAAATGCTTCTGGACAGGACTCACCTTCCCATGGGCCCTACCGCCACAGTGAAGTTCCCCCCGAGGGTCAGGTTCCCGCCCTTGGCGAAGGCCTCCACAGCTCTGTCATAGTTCAGAATGATCACCAGATCTGAGACCTGCAAGGGAGGGCACCCGTTTAAAACACTTGCAACTAAGTACCAAAGTACGTGCTACGCCATCTGTAAGGTAGTAAAGCCTTTACACTGCCAGAGAATGAGTGTGAAAATGACATAAAGAAGGCACCGCGGCAGACACCTAAGACCCCGCTGCCAGCTTCCCTGTGACATGGCTAGATCTGAGGACCGTGGGGTAGGTGGGGACACTGAGGACCATGGAAGCTGCAAACTGTCTTGGCCAAGAATCAGAGTGCTCTCTGACCTCCTAATCCAAACTCTCCAAAGGCCACCCTAGGGGACCAGGTCTGGGGGCCACACGCCCACCACCAGGAGACCCAGCCCTGGAGACTTTCCAGTAGGTCGAAGAGGCTCAAAAGCCAGGAACAAGTTGGCTTCCCTCAGTAACAGCCCTCAGACTTGATTTTCCTCTAACTGAAAGCTGAAGGAGAAGGGGATTCAGCTGCATGCTCGAATCACATCCGATGGAGAAAGCCCTTGTCTTTCAAGTTCACCACTGCGGTGGGGGAGCCCAATGCAGAACAGAACAACACGGCCTGTGTCACGACTCCACAAGAACTGGCCCTTGATCTCTGATCTTCCCACACTTGAAGGCTCACAAGGAATCCGCGCATCATGGAGCTATCCCGAGGATCATCGATGATCACGCCATGTGTACCTGGAAACCAAGACCTAGGGCAAGTGCCGAACGACGTGAGAGGGAATCCTGAGGCGGTGCATGGATGCTGTGGACGGCACTCAGAGCCTCAGCTTCCTCTGTAAGCTGAGCGTGACCAAGAAACCACCTCTGAAAGGATGTCGGGGGGGGGGGCTGCACTGAAATCACCATGAGGCCTGGTGTGGTTACCGCTGTCCGTAAGGCCCAGGAAGTCCAAGCAGACCTTAAAGGATGCCTTCACTTAAGTCATTCTTTTAATTTTCCTGAGGTTTTCAAATCAATGTTTTCTCTCAACCTACAGAAAAGTCCTGCAATTAGCAAGTGAGATTACACTCCAGGAAGCTCCTGGCACCAGCGGTGCTCAAGTCTGTGGTATGCGCATGCTCACTCGCTGCTCTTAGGAAGTGTGTCTTGGACAGTTTCTGAAGGTGGCCATGGCAAGGGGCATGGAATGATTTAGCACTTCTTAGGCAAAGGCCAGTGCTTTTGCCTGCACTTCAGCCAACATCTCGGCTGCACTTCTGCTAACAGAGTGCACAGCTTGGCTTTCTCACGTGGGGACAGGTAAGTCCCGGATACACCTCAAAGCAGCTTTGGCTGCTATCTCCACCTGTGCAGCGCATCTCAGAACAGTTAAGGCAGGTACAGCTCTAAGAGGCAAAGGAAAGAACTGATCCATCTGTCCCTGTCCACTTCCTTTGAAGCACAGTAAGATGATCCCGTGTTCTTTGGTGATACACTGATTAGACTGAAAACCGGGTCACACTTGGCCTTGTGAGCTCCTGGCTCTCAGTTTAGGACCAGAGTGGAAATAAATGTCACAGAGCTGCCCTTGGCTACCAGTGAGGACAAGTGTGCAGCTCCCTACCTGGGTCCCAATAGCCCACTGGCAACCCACAGGCTGCCAGGTATCCCGTCAGATGTTGGGGTGTGCCTGTAACGTAAATGTGCTCAAGATGGAAGCAGATGAAAGGGTGAGGGAAAGAAATCCTCCTTTCAAAGAAAAGGAAGAAAAATGGGAACCATTAGATAGGTTCACTGAGAAAACAAAGGGTCTAGGGCACGGTCAGGGGCAGGGTGCTTGCTTAGCATGCAAGAGGCCCTGGGCTCAAGTCCCAGTATTTAAAAAAAAAAAAAGAAGAAGAAAGGAGAGGAGAGGGGGAGAGAGAGAATGAAAACACAGAGGACCATTTCTATAAGTGCTGGAAGCAAAGTAGGGGCACTTAAGAGGCCTCTCCATGTCCAGGTGCAGGGTTTTGGGCGCATTAGGGACACAGTGATTGTGCACATAGGCACAGGCCCACTTACCTCGATCCCTACCTCAAATCCCCCACCGAGACCAGCTATCCCGATGGCTGAAGGTGCAGACCATTCTGGGGAAGACAAACAAAGATGTATTGCATTGTATTGTATTGTATTTATTTATGGTACCGGAGATCGAACTCAGGACCTTGTGCTTTCGAGGCAGGCGGCGGAACCACTGAGCTAAATCCCCGGCCCAACAAAGATATATTTTAACAATGCAAAGTCCTTGATGTATGACTATGGGAAGGAAAATGCTAATATATAAATGATTCTTTATAAATTATGAGTTATTTTCTCCTATTTTTAAAAATATTCTTCAAAGAGATGTAAAATTTTTTAAAAGTTGAGGCTATCTAAAAGGTATTAGAGATTCATAATGAGTTTCAGACTTGTAAGTTCTTGCCCTTTAAACTTTCCCTACCACATGCTGGAGTCGAAACAGCTCGTTCCTACCCACTAACCATACATAATGTTTGATACTTTCAACTATTAATATTTTTATAATTTAGCTGCAGCTGTAGTCCTTGGTTACAGTTTTATCAGAGCCATAAGAGATCAGAAGGATTCAAGACTTTGCTATAAACACTCCTAGGGGTTTCATTATACTAAATAGTTTCCATGGTAAATTTCTGAGGCAAAAACTGCTTTTGCTGTCCTGTGCCTAGTAGAAGCCTAGGACATGGGCTGTAAATTCAAGATCATTAAAATCCTAACAAGATGCATTTCTTTACACTTGGAAGCTAAGTACAATAATTTCATGTGCCATAAAATGGCACACTTTTGGATTACTGTGTGCATATTTTTCCTGATATAGAAACAGTTATGTTAAACAAGTCTAGAAAAACATATTTTTCGTTTGTCAGGGGAGGGAAGGTGGGAGTCACTGAAAGTCTTCTGCCCTCAGAGTTAACAGCCTCTGGCTACAGGTGCTATCTCCGACAGGTCCTAGAATTGGACCCCTGCCCAACCAGAAGGGAAACCCCCCCTAAGTGACCCGCTCCCCGCATCCACAGGAGCACAGAGATAACAGGAAACCAGCTGCTGCCCTGCCGCTCTCACCACCGCCCTGTTTATCCGCCAGCCCCAGGCCCACCGCCCATGGGACTCTAAAATTTCCCACCCTCTCGGCCAGCGCCCCCTCCCCTCCCCAAACTCCCTCATACCAACAGCACGTACTCTCCTCTCAGGGCCAACGGCCTTCTTGCCCTTGGCCCATCTGCACCCAGACGGCAATAAACTCTCTGCCAGTTGCTTGAACTTTGCCTGCCTTGGTGGTCTCAACTGTGTCTCAGTCTGGCCTTACGTCTCACTCTCACCCACCCACAACTAATCTGTGGGCTCAAGGCCTTCCGGTTGCAGAAATCACCGGGTGATGACCCCTCAGCCAGCTTCATTTCCAGGGTTAGGAACCGTCCAGTCCCCAGGCCTGTGTCTGCCATGGGAACTTGCCTTGCCATATTTGGGCAGCTTTTAAACTATTCCCATCCTGGTGCAGCTGCTGCTCAACTCAGGAGGATGGGGGAAGAGAAACAGCCTCTGCAACCAAGAGGAAGGCCCTCTGGGGGACAGGGCCAGGCTGGAGCCCTTCATCCAGCCCCAGAGCCTCCTGCCGGGTCACTTCTGCAAGGAGCACCTGTGTGGCTGGTTTTGCCTGTGAGCATTTGGACAGGGTTTGAGAAGCGAATTATCTCTTCTCAATTACATGTGTTGAAAAACGGCTATTAACAGAGCAATGTGTTCCCATCTATGAGAGAACAGCAGGTATTAAATTGTATAAAACTTCAGCTGGTCATGACCCTGACACATGTTTACATAATCCTGAAAATGTTGTTTCTTAGGATTCCTGGCAAATATATTTTGATTTAATCTCTAAAAAATCAAGTAATAGATTTCACCCCAGAAGGTAATATTCATTTATCCTATTCCCAACATAATTCTGCCAGGGCTTGGGTAAGGGTCCTTCAAATGTTTCAGATTCACAATCTCCCACAGAAACAGGACTTCTCAGGCAGGCCCTGCTTTTCACATTAACTTCCTAAACAGAATTCTCGAGGTCACGTCCAGCATGGAAGTCCCTAGGCTGCCATGTGTACTAAATGCTCCAGGAAGACCGCAGGATGGTGATAAGACAGAGTCGGATCTGCCAGAGTACAGCCTCCTGACCCCAGGGCAGTTTCGTCCCACATACAGCCTGTGTGACAAAGACCTGCCTGACAGCTCCTATGAGAGCATCCGAGCTGGCAAAGGAACCAAAGCCAGTTAAGGTTCTCAGACTCCCACTTACTTCCATCCGGAAGGCGTGCCAGGACAATGCCACTGCCTCCCCGGGCCGTCACCAGGAAGCCGGCTTTGATCACAGACAAGATAGCCAGACCTTTTGCCTTCGCAATAACATGGGCTATAAAACAGACAGAAAGCAAAATGTGACCGACAGGCAGCTGGTGGCAGCACTTCAATCTTAAAGCCATATGGTTAAGCTGACCTCTTATTAATACGGTAACTGGGATTCAAGAGTAGAAATGAAGTTATTCTGCCACTTTAAAGATTGTTAAGTTCATAAAATGATCTGCTATTGTATTCACTGAATACATGAATACAGTGTACTGTATTCAGTACACTGGAAATACAGTTCAGTTTCCAAATACTGGTTTATTTACATTTCACACTTATTCACATTTCATGTATGTTGCTGCTTAATGCCATCCATACTGTGCCAAGTTCATTTGCAAAATAGCCAAAGAATCCCAGAAATGTCACCACAAGAAATTTAATTGATTATCATCCTCAACAGGTGTCTGCCAAGGAGGTAAAGTCAGACACTGTGATCTGCCCCACAAAAGGTTTTGTAGATGCCTCCAGAAAACTTGGAATTTCTAAGATAATCGTGCCATTTCAGAACTTAAATTAGTGACAGACTCACACACCCAAGAGACTAGTGAAGTTGACAAACAGAACACTGGTCAAGCCATTCTTGAGTAAGATACAGAAATAAGGTGGCCTTTGGAGATGCCAGTCTACTAAGTGTAATTTATTTTTGTTCCTCAAGAGGTTACAAATACATTGCAATAGACTGAAAGTTTGTATTTCATACCACGTAGGTTTATTTTTACAGCAATGTGTTGACAGTATGTCCCCCTCAACACCTCACATTCTGGCCTCAATGCTCCTAGGGTTATAACTGCCTCTATTTAGAAACATTAAATACAACAGCATGCATTTAAATGAATATATTTCACACATCAACCGTGTTTTTACAGATTACCCAATTTCAGGGGCACCAAATTACCAGTACAGGTGATCCCTGAATCATTTGCTCATTAGCTTCCATTTACAGAGTAGAATGCAGTGATTGCATATTGACTTTCTAAGCTAAGTTTCTCTTACATCTCAGAACTCCTAACAAGAGGGAAAACTTGCTCCATGGAGGCCTCAAGGTCTGGATATCTTATTCAGAATGTTTTGTAGGTTTCTCCTATGTTACATGACATGGGCCCTTGTTTTAATGTAAACATCGGGATCCCAGTAAGACTGTAGGAAAGAAGAGCTCCTCCCAGCCGACCTCCTTGCCCCAGGGTTGGCTCTCAGTGGGGTACAGGGACCCCTCCCCCAACACAGTACCTTGGTCAGGAGGCAGAGAAAGGCGAGACAGAGCTGTCTATGGAATCCACAGGTGCCGATCCCACTGAGACATCTCCCAGTGTTAGGCGACACCATCCACCCACCAGTCAGTGTGCACGGCACTTTCCAGCCTCTCTGTGGAGCACTGCTACTGAAAATTCAGAGTTCCGCTCGAACTTTCTTTAGACTTGAAGGCAGTGCCCATGGAAGGTGCACAGAGCTCACCGAGCCTTGGGGAAATACTGACCTCTGGGTCACAGGGATGCCCCACACCAGTCAGTCTGCACAGGGACAGAGGGCTGGCTCTCAGATGGCAGAACAGGCCAGACACAGTAGCCACCATCAGCGTTATTATCAATATCGTTATGCCAACAAAGTTTTAAAATCATTTAAGGCTCTGTTAAATAACTTCAGAAAGACTGGCTTAGGAAAATCAAGCTGGTTTCTTTAATGTAGGATGGAGTCGTGCAATGAGGTTAAGAGGGAAACTGTTCTGCAGTGTTGCCTAAGCCAATCTGCATCAGGATCTACTTCGTGTGAGAAGAGTGTTCCAGGCAACACCTCTGGAGGTCATCGGGCATAGTGACAACAGGCGGTGGTTCTCAAAGACTCACCTCCTGGCCAGGTCACACGGCTTACATGAGCAGACCACAGACCTATGAGGAACACGTCAGAGATCCCTGGAGTCCCAGGCAGGGGCTGAATTTGGTTCAGAGCCTGTATTTTAATGCTAAAGGGGTGCTGATGCACAGCTGTGCTGGGAATTACTGATTAACACCTTCTCAAACCACTACAGAGTCTGAATGTCCATGCAGAAGAAAAAACACAAAAGTAACCCATTTCTTGTTCAGAAAAAAAAAGTGCAGCTTGCTGTGAGCGTTGATGTAATTCTACATAAACATGCTCTCTGAGGCTAAAGTAAATCTGATTGGTTTGCAATGTGAAAATAAAATGTAAAGCTATTCTTGGAGTTGTCTCTAAACAGAACTTGTCTGTAGTTCTAATGTAATGGAAATGCAAATGATCATCAGTCTAATAATTTGTTTTGGTGCGGTAAATTTTAAAGTATGAAGCAACAAAAGCAAAATATCACATTCAGCACAAAAATACTGTTTCTCATTAGATCTTCCTGTCATCCTTGTTACTATGCAAGCAGCAAACTGCAGAGACCAGCCGGGCTCTGTTCCCCAATGCTGGTGACATGCTCCTGGGGACATGCACAGGAGGAGATGTGTGAGAGCACGGTGCCGTGAAGGTGCCGCTGCCCTGGCTTGTGACAACACTTCTCCAGCACTCTCTCAGTCAATGTCATCCAAAGTTCATGTGGCTGACTGTGTGCTCAGGACCATTCCTGAAAAGGACATAGGACTTGGCACTGTCATGTTTACAAGAAACACTGTCATGTTTAAAAGGTGGCAAAGGAACTTCTTACACCAACCCCTTGCCATATGTGCTTTGTGGGTAAGAAGTAAGCATCCAGCCGGGTATTTAGCTTAGTGGTGCTGCCGCCTGTCTCACAAGCACAAGGTCCTGAGTTCAATTCCTGGTACCAAAAAAAAAGAAGCAAACATCTGATCAGCCAAGCCCACCACTCCCATACTCTCGCTATAATCCACAACGACACACAGCTTCTTGGTTTTCTTTCCCTCTCTGCTGTCTGTGTCCATCAGGGGGGACTGCTGACAAGCCTGCTGCTACCTTCCAGTCACCGTGCCAGGCCATGGGTTCACCACTGTTCTTTTGCAATCCTTTTTTTTTTTTTGTACCAGGGATCGAACTCGGGTCCTTGCGCTTGCACAGCAGGTGGCGAAACCACTGAGCTAAATCCCTGGACCTGCAATCCTTCTTTTAAAGCTCATTTGGCATCCATTTTCTGTTCAAAGGAGCTGTTCCAACTGCCTCAATCCTGTTTGGATGTAATTCTCTGAAAAGCATGGGAGATGTATAAAAGTCGCCGAGGAATTGAGCAAGGTAAGAAAAATGCACAGTGATTTCAGATCATCAGCTGAATCTTCTAAATTCGAGCCGGGCCGTGTGAGCAGCCACTCCACACCTAACCAGGGTGACTTTTGCAGCACTCAGAGCTCAAGACCAGAGCAGCTCGCTTTGCTGGGCTGCACTGCTTCATGGCTATCTGGCCATGAACAGCATCACGAATTAGTCCACTGCAGTGTTTCTATTCCAAGCAGATACAGTTGAAAACTTATTTACAAAAGAGTCAAGCACAGGTTTGATCTTCTGCAATGAGTTCTGAGCCTTTGATTGACTAGCAGATATGGAAGAATTGTTGACAAAGTCCAGGCACTAAAGGGAAAGAGAAAATCTTTTACTAGTCTTAATTTGTCTGAGGTTCAGCTCCAGCTCAGGTTTCTGCACAATACTTTGCAGTAATGTTATTGCAAAAAAGACTTTCAGTTTGTCATTGTCAGTGTCTTTCCATTTGTCCATTCCTGAAAATCTTTTGAGGCCAGGTGGCTTTGGCACCAACAAGGAGCTTGGGCATTCACTCTGCTGGTAATTTTAAAAACTAATTCTTCAATAAAAAACAGTTCAAAATACTGCAGTGGGTCAGTAGAAGGAGGCAACAGGGTGAGGGACCTCCCCATACAGGAACCACATCATCCCTGTACATTGGACCAATTGGAAATCTGCCCTTTTCAATCCTTCATTTGAATCTGAATCTGGTGCCCTTCACAGGACCAATCGGAAGATGCTTTTTTCAATCCTTCATTTGCATGTGTTCACAATCAATCAGAAGACACTGCTTCAGATCCTTCATTTGCATGTAGAAGAAGCCAAGGGAGTTTATGATAGCACAGTGTAGGCATGGCTGAAGCCAAGTGAGTGACTGGATGACTTTCCCAATACCTTATTTGCTTGGAAGAGAGATAACTCAGGAATTCTGGGTCCAAAAGGAGCCCTTTCCCTTATCCTTGTGTGCTGTGAGCCTTTTTGCCAGCCTTCTTTTCTGCTTTTAAAAAATGTACACCCTGGCTACCTTTTCTGTGTGCCTTGTTCGGGACACTAAGACCTAGGAAGAAGCCCCACATGGGACCCTCCATCCGGTGACAAGTGGCATCACTGATATCAACTTTTCCTGCAGGTGTCTGGCAGTCATCCCTTTGACATTAAATCAACACAAGCCGACCATTTCAGAGCCCAACTCCAGGCAGCTGATGCAGGGCTATTTCATCAGATTCTGGTGGGGTTTTTTTTGGTACAGGGGATCAAACTCAGGTCCTTGCGCTTGCACAGCATGCGGTGAAACCACTGAGCTAAATCCCGGCCCTCATCAGATTCTGAACTGGACAAAGGCCTGACTGTATCACCTTCTGAAGCATCCAAACTGTCTACTTCAGAAAAATAGGATTCATCAGACGAATCTTCAGCCAACAACTGTTCAAAAACACTGTTAACATCACATGTAGGAATGCTTCATTTTCTAGGAGTTGACGTTTTTAGCAATCAAGAATTATTACATTTTGTACATGGAAATACCACTCTCACACACAGAATGCTGAGGAAAAAAAACAGTATGGTGTGTTTTGTTTCTAAAAACCGTGGATATGCCAGAGTCATACAAAAATAATAATAAAAGCAAGATATTTCATGGCAAGCGTGGGCAGCAAGGTTAGAGCTGTAACCTGAGGGTTATCTCAGGGTAAACCCTGAGGTTGCAAGCATTGTTGTCGAGTGTTCTTGTGGCAAATGGGAAATGGGATAAAACTTATTTGTGAGACGAGATGGAGAGTTTGCAAGATTTGCTTACCAAGCACTGAGAGAGAGATGAAAGGAGAGAATTGAGGCAAACCAAATGGAACAGGGCCTAGGGCCAGCGGCACCAGCAGGAGGCAGACAGGGAAGCTCTAGTCTGCATGTGGCCCCCCGGTGGGAGGGGCTCCCTGGGTCAGGGCTGAGACCAAAGGTGGGCTAGGTACTTGGTGCCCACTCCCCCATCAGCTGCCTGCAGAGAAATCCTGAGGAACGCAGAAAGCAGCTTAGAAAACAAAAACAGGCAGACATTTACCTACCGGGAATGATCTTGTCAGGTCCATTTCTTGAGGTTATTTCTGTGAATTCTCTTAATATTTTAGCAGCCTTCTTTGCTTCTGACTTCAGATTTGAAGGTATGGGGTTATTCACTGAAATATTTTTTTCAGAAGACATTTTAATGAAAAAAATCTAAATGTAAGTTAGGAATTGACTGCCATCTACCTATTCAGAACATCAATCTATTCAAAGTGGGAAACCCTAAACCCTCAAAGTATCAGAAGTCCTAAAATCATGGAATCCTATAAGGATCATAAGCAAAACTGGTCCAATCTCGTCATGATGTATCTTCTCCCGGTAACGAACTCAACCGAACGCTAGTAAACTGTCTAGACTAGACAATATAAATTTAATACATTTGGGCGTTTTCACTGGAAATGTCTGAGCTGGCCGCAGGCAGACTTGTGTAGGGCAATTCTGAGCTATCCAGGGCTTGAGTGGTCACTACAGCAATGTGAGCCAGCTGGTGCACACACCTTGCATCCAGCATTGTCGGGACACTCACCGTTCATGGGAGTGTTCTCTTCCTTGACCGCATGCACACAGCTCTTGGGCTCTGTGGCATGTTGGGGACGCTGGGCCATTCATCAGGCAAGGAATTAGATCAGCAGAGCTAGGAAGGTCCAGCAGCTGTAGGCAAGACCTGGTGAGGCCACGCTGAGGATTCATTTCAGGGCCCATCTTGCCTCACATTTCTGGTCACAGGCATGTTTTCCTGTCTGCTCATTTCTGATGGTCTGATGGGTGCTAGATGGTGTGACTATTACCATGTTGAGTGTCTAGGTTCTGTCATCCTCGTCTGGATGAGCATGTGAGAGGCAGGGTGCAACTCACAGACCAGCTCCACATCTGGCTGGTCTCTACTTGTGTGGAGCCCCAGAGCAAGTGAGACCCTTTCAGGTCCTCTGCTTTGGGTGCACAGATGTGCTCTGAGATGGTACAGTGGGTAGAAGCCTGAACCCTGTGTGATCTACTTGGAAAAAGGGTCTTTGCTAACATATTTCAGGTAAGATTACCCGAGTGGGCCTAATCCAGTGATAAGCATCCCTACAGGAAACAGAAGGCAAGGCACAGAGAAGACAGGGCCAGGTACAGCCATGGGCAAAGTGTCCCCCTGCAGCCACAGGAGGCAGCCAGTCTAAGATACTGTCACCTGCTTGTTTAAAATCAAGGGTCTTATTTTGATGGTGGCCTTGAGATACTGAAAGCCTGATATTCTTTTGTGGCTCCTGCTTTTATCTGAAATGGTAAAAATGAAGAGTGGAGACAAACAGGAGAATTCTTAGGGGCACATAATTTTTATATCAGGAAGGAACCTTAAGAAAACCATTCAGGGGTCAGGGATTTAGCTCAGTGGTTCCAGCTCCTGCCTTGAAAGTGCAAGGACCTGAGTTCAATCCCTGGTACGAAAAACAAAAACAAAAACAAAAAAAACCATTCAAATGACACCAATTTCCTAATGTCTTCTAGAATTTTCTCCTTGTTAATGCTTTCATTATACAGTTTGAATCCAGAAGATCTTTGCCTATTTTTTATTTTGAAGCAGGGTCATGTTATGTACTTCAGGCTGGTCTTGACCTCATAATCCTCCTGCCTTAACCTCCTGGGTGCTAGGATTATATGCATGCACCACCATGCCTAGGACTCAGAGGATCTCAAAAATAATTTGAGTAAGGAAAATTGCATGTGAACATTTAGGCTTTTATGGAGGCAGATTTAGTCATGATATTGTAGACAGCAAAGTTAGATAGAAATTAATGTACAGTCAGAGAGGGACTGGGCTCTCAAGGAAGTCAGCAGAAAAATAAAGACATCAGAATTCTGGATGGAGGCGCATCTGTCTAAAGCCAGGCCTCAAGATAAAGATGGAATGGCCAGGCCTACAAGCCTCCCTAAGGGATAAACAATACAATGGAATTATACTATAATTGCTACCACCTGGTCCAGGAAGTCCAGATAGACCTCAGTCACCCAAATGGGTGACCAGAGTGTCCAGCCCCACCCCTTCCCAAAATGCCTTTGTTCTTTCCATGTACCCTTGCCATATGACCCGCTTCCCTACTGGATCAATATTAGCTAAGCAGCTACACTTGTAATCTTACTGGTTGATTATAGTTTGACCCATGTTGTACTCACTTTGTGATTTTGTACCCACCTTGTGATTTTGTTCTATAAAACATTGCTAGAGAAGTGGCCTCAGTGGCAACCCATTTTCAGGTCCCTCAGGACCTATCTCTCAATAAGTCTTTCCTACTATTAACCTCATTGTTCCTTAGAATTCACTCTTTGATTTCTGGGGACACAGTGTATCTGACATCTGGCAGGTTGGGAGTTACATTTTCCCTGATAGCAATGCTTTCAGGTAATATGCTATTGATGGAACACTGTTCATTTGGAATTAGACCAGTGATCAAGAAAAAAATAGTATGGGACGTGTCCAGTTTCCCACATAACAATTTCTTGCTGTATCTGTACAGTTGATAGATTTTGAGAACTCAGATGGGACTTGGCTTCTTTTCCATTTTGATTGCTCAATGGCAGACAGGACTGAGCTGGGATGAGTTAGCAAGACAAATGAGAATATAACTAGAAAATTGCCTTAACACCAATTCATCTGTTTATAAGGTAAATGTATTGACTATCCTGTGCAGTATGACTAGATTTTCCTGTTTCCTGACTTTTCTTGGGTACCCAAGGGGAGGGTACACAGCCACTGCCCATTTACGTGTGCCTCCCTGTTACAGTGTCACTGTGTGGGGCTGTCCCAGGAGGCAGCTGCCCAGGGGACTGTGAGTCACTTCTACACCAAGACAGTGAGATGTGGGGCACTTCCCCACTGCCTTTCCCTGCCACTGGCTGGGTAAAGAGGCCTTGCAGGGCAGGGCCACAGCAGGAAGGACAACACCCTAGAGCACCTTGTCAGGAACCACCCACCTGAGGGATACGGGACCAGGGCTGCACCAAGCAGAAAACTCAGGGACTTGACACAGAGCAGACGACATCCCACTAGACGAATATTAAAGTTTAAAGAGCACTTCTCCCAAAAGAAAGAAGGAGAAGTATTTGTAACTTTACCATTCTACCTTAGCCTAGATTTGACTAGTGTTTATCCACATTCTAATCAGTTTGAGGTAGAAAAATGAGTTAAACAAATCAAATATAAATCTCCTATGTGTTAGTATTTTATTTCTGATTATATAGTACTCATGATATTCTATTTGCAAGCACTTCTAAAAAAGCTAAAGCTGTGGTTTTTCCTTTCCACTGAAATTGAAAAGGTAACAGGATGTACCATCTTTGCCATTCCAAGTTCTCCTATTACCACGCATCAATATTGCAGGCTTATGTCCTATACCTCCTTCTAGGACCCTGCACCTGCTTTTTCCCCTTCTCTGTCCACCCAGAATGGGACAGATCTAGACCCACATGGGAGGTGCAAACCTCAGGGCAGGCTAGAAGGGAAGCTTGATATAAGAATTGTTAACTATGGCAAAAGACAGGAAAAACTGTGTGGCTGCTTCAGGTAGGACAGGCTTCGAAGAAGGACCGAGCCCCCAAAGGACAGTGCAGCTCAAGTGGGTCAGCCTGGTGGGCCCCGGTGCAGACAGTCAGCACCAGGCTAGGCGAGCTTGGGTCCTACTGAGCCAGGACCGGACTTCAGGTCGAAGAGGTCCAGAGGGGATTCTGCTGGAAGTCTGAAGGGCTGCCCTGTCTCCCCCTGCAAGGCCTCCAGGATCTGGTACATGCCAGGAAGCTGACTTTGAGATGTCTTGTTTACCCTAGAGTTGTGTTGCCAGCACTCTGGGAGGGAGAGGCAGCAACTGAAAACTGGTCCAGCAGGGCTGGCCAGCCTCCACCCAGGCCACCAGGTGCCACTGTCACCCCGCTCCCCTCCCCACCCAGATCAACCAAAAACAAGAAAGTGCTGCGTCTGCAGAAGAATCACTAGGGAAGGGCACTAATGGGGATGGAGCTGAGCCTCTAATTAGTGAGGTGGATGCTGCGCCTGCCTGGCCAGCAGACAAGGGCAGGAACCACCTAGTACGGGTCCCTGCTTTCAGTCATAAAGGAAATTAAAACTAGAGCACAAATCTTTGGGGAAGAATAGTTTTAACTGATAAATTGGAGGGAAGACAGGAAAGGGCTCCAGCTCAGGTGGCTGGAGTGGTGCACTCTGACCCTGGGGTTCAGACTGGCCCACCACAAAGGTGGAAGACAGCTTTCAAGGGTTAGCTGGAGGGCAGGGGACCTGGTGTCACAGCTCTGGAACCCTCATGGCTGAAGGGTGGCCTCCTCTTCAGGAAGGGACTGCCTCTGTATGTAGATATCTTGATCAGGTAGGCGCCACTTTTCCTGGGATCCACTTGAACACGGGTTCAGGACAGTGGCTGGAGACTTCAGGGCACTGCTGAATGTCCCTGGAAATGCCCCATTCTGGTGTCCCCAATCTTGAAGGAGCTGAGATTATATAAATTCAGGGCTAATCAACCTTGTTTTGCTAACCCCTAGGTAGATACTCCCTAAATGATTAACATATCCACACCCAGAGCTCAGAAGGGATTTGACTCAAACTTTTAAGGTAACCAAGGATACAAAATGGCCAAGCTTTGTTCTACTTTTAGTTACCCACTGGCCATCTGTAGGCCCAAGTGAGGAGTCACTGTTCATAGCAAAAATGGCTTTTAAGGCCTTGACTATCCCAGAAGAAAGCACAAATCATGCTTTTAATGAGCTACAGGTAAGGGCCAGGAATTTGCCTGTTCCCATCCCTGTGGTGGTCCCTAACTATGTTATGACTGTGTCAGAACCACACTTTGCTTTTATTATTATTATTATTATTTTTTTATTTTTTGGTACCGGGGATCAAACTCGGGTCCTTGTGCTTGCGTAGCAGGTGGTGAAACCACTGAGCTAAATCCCCGACCCTACACTTTGCTTTTAATGATACAACCAATCGTGGAAGTTTGTCTTCTCTCTTGTTAAAGGAGTGCCAACATAAAACCCTAAACTTCCCCTCTGGCCTACGAGGTCTGTATGTGCGCCATCTGGCCCTTTGCAGAAAAAGATGTGATCTCCAATCTGCTCAGCTGTGATGCATCCTGAGGACCACAGGACAGGTCTGCAGGTCCTGCGGTAACCCCCTCCCAGGGCCCATCCTGGAAGTGTGTGCGCCAGGCAGGCCTTGGGTCACCCCCTCTTCCTCCAGGACCCGGCTTCCACCTAGCTGCACCCAAACTGGTCTAGAAGCCTGGAAGCAACCCCACCTCTGGCATAAGCAGTGAGGAGACACTCTTGTTAATCACCTCCAAGATCTAACACCGTGTGGTGGGTGTCCCAGGCCCTGCGGGGCTGCCCTCTGGTTCTAGGCCTGTCCTTCCTCTTCATCTGCGTGTACATGCCTGCCTCTGCTCCAAAACCTTGAGGCACCCTTGAGTGCTGCTCCTCTCAGAGCTCCCTATCCCTAACCTTCCCTGGCTTTCCAGCCCAGCAGCACCAAGGCAGCCATTCAGCTGTAGGCCACGCCCCTTGCTGTTTCCTTGTTCCTTTCACTCCAGGTAGATTTCCTGAGAGCTGGGCTCATTCGCCCTCCCCCAGGAGGGCCTGAACCTTCGGAACACTCCCACCACCCCACGGCCGGCCGGCTACCCCAGAGCACACCATTTCTCACTGGGTCTCAGGGGGGCTCCTATCAGCCTCTTCCCAATTCTCAACCTTACTGCCATGTTTCCAGATAGCTCTGTCTAGGTAATGCCTAGATAGAATTTTGTTACCTGATCTCTCTAAGTTTCCACCATGTTGAGATGCTGAGTCTGCACCATGGGCTAGGGCAATACCACATGTGTACGAATGTGCGTGGAGTGTACATGTACATGGTGCAAGTGCATATGTGAAATGTACATTCAGGTGCTGGGTTTGCATGCATGTGTCGTGTGTATGTGGGAATATGTTAATATTCCCAACACATAAATACTGCTGGATGTGCAGTAAGTGCTCAGTAGACATTTGTTAAATGAATGATGTATTTGTGTGGCCTGGGGAATGAAAAGTCAAATCCCTGTGATGACTGATTCACATAGAAAATCCAATGGATATAAGGGAAAGTAAACTGAGGAACAGCCTCCCTGGACTTTGAGGGAGGCCAGAGAGTAGCAAGGCATGAGTTGAGGGGTGCTGCCCAAACAGCACTTGCCCAGGACAAACCACAGGGAGGGCTGTGAGCCCCAGCAGAGAGCTCGAGGGCCCCACCCTGAGTGCATGCTGGGTGAGGAGGCTGGGCCTCAGCCGTCTGCACCCCATCGGCTTTCTGGAGCCCAGGAAGCTCCCAGAGCCCTGATGCCACTCACAGAAAGAACCTTGCTGTTGTCTATGTCAGATCCTCCCAAAGGATGCAGGATCACTTGGCGGTGTCCGCAGGTTTAATGACTATGAGAACAGCGTAAGCCTCTCCTGGTGGCATGGAGGATGGCACATGCTTGTGTCAATCCACCTGAGACCCACCTGCCTGAGGAGTCAGGCTTGATAGAAATGAGGGCTCAGGTTACAATCTGTGTTCCTGGCACTCAGGTTTGTGATAGTGAGACAGAGCTCAGAGAACTCCAGGACAAAGGGCAGGAGCTCTCCTGGGCCCCAACTCAAGACCTGAGACCCATGAAAGATATGCTAAGTACTCTTCCCTCCCCTCACACTTCCAGACATTCTTATCAACATCAAAACCCAGAACCTTCATTAAAGCCAGGATGTCTCTGCCCACAGTGCTTCCAAGAATAAACTAGGTGAAAAAATAAACTCTTGGGGATCAACCCAGGGGGACTCCCAGGCCCGGTACCTGTCATTCATTAAAGTATAATAGTAAATGTTTTCTTCTGAGGCAATCAGGGACTTACAGCTGATTTTGTTAAAAACCCTGACTCTTCACTTGTGCCTGCAGATGCCCAAGGGCTAACTAACTAAGCAGGATAAACTTGGCATCTCTGCATGTTCGGAGCCTAAAAGTGCCAATTTAAGGCTTAAAAGCCCTAAATTTACCTATCTCATCCTCCTTCAAGACAAGGACACCAAGATGAGAGGCTTTATAGGGCTAGTCAACTACCAGCTTTCACTGCCTAAAAACGTCTCCAGTCATTGCCCCAAGCCTGTAGTCACCAAGGATTCCAGCAGAGCTTCCGCAAAGCCAAGACTGCTCTGAAGAGAAGAAACCATCTCCAGGGAACCAAGCTGCCCTTCAACCACAAGGATCTCTTTCAAGCTGCAAAACCAGGACGGAGAACATGATCAACCTGACCCCTGCCCACCTCAGCTCCCTTAAAAGCCATGCCCGGTCCTTTGTTAGTGGCAGTCTGCTCTTCCTCAGAGCTAGGTTCCCTTCAGCTCCCCAAGCTCATCTTCCTTAGTGGTGCAATGAAAGCTTTGGCTGCTGCCTCAGTTTTAGTTTCCATTATCATTAAAACAAAGACCCTCCCTGGCTGCTGACAGTCTGAGACTCAGACATGCACACCTGTCTTTTTTCCTTTCTTCCTTGGCACTCATCCCTCCCACCCTAAACCGTGCAACCCTACAGGCCAGAACTGTGCTTTTCACTTGTCACCACGTCCCCAAGACCACCTTGCTCACAGGGCGTACAGCGTGTGGAGCTGGATTGGTCAGCAGAAGTGAAAATGTGTTCACTTTGCTGCTGAGTGTTCATTCTACTTAGAAAGCAGGGTGGTCGCAGCACCCGGGTGGGGGTGGGGTGACCATGTCTGACACTAGGACAAGGCTCATAAAGGCACTTGCAGCAAAGTTTGTCTCCACAGGGGAGTCTGGGAGCACCAATGCCAGTGGAATGTTAGGCAGGGTAGAGAGAAGCAGGGCACTGCAGGCTTACACCGAACTCAGACCAGCCCTGGTCTTTGAGACCTTATGCTCGAGAGGCAGGCAGCGGCACCACTGAGCTAAATCCCTGACCCCAGCCCTGGTTTTAAATCACTTGGATCAGGAAAATCCTTTTCTGTTAAAGCCCCCTTAGACCAGATTCTCTGACACATGCAACTAAAGCAGAGTAAATAAGATGTAGATTGTATGCACAAAGACTTTCTACTCTGAACTGTCTCAGCTGAGTCATGTTAGACCAGTCATACAGGAAAATTCCAGTCAAGAGTTTCCGGGCAAACAGCCTGGCCAGGGGATGGTCACAGCTGCACTGTGAAGGTGGGCCGAAAGGCTCCTGGCTCATGCACCTGTGACCAGAGCTTCCCCAGCTGGCAGAGCCACCGCTGATGGTGGCTCCTGAGAAGCCTGGTCATGGTGAGGTGAACGCCAGGGTGTATCAAGGACGCTATTCAACCTCCCACAAAACCATACTGCCTGCTCCCACTTCCACACAGTCAGTTTGTCAGAACAAACACACAAAGATGAAAAATTGAGAGATAAGCCCCAAGTCCTGTCCTTGGCTTCAAATCACTGTTCACCTTCTTTTCCACTACTGTGCCACAGGGACAAGAACATGGTCCTATCTGCACCCTGCTGAAGAGGGTGCTGCCCTTTACGCTTCACGTCCCCCATGGAGTCTTAACTCTCTTGTATTCCGAGCAAATTACTGAAAACCAAGCAAATTGTTGATAAATATTTGAATCTCTTCCTAGGACAAGGGTGGCCGCCAAACCTCAAGCTAAGAAACTCTCCCATGTATTCTTTTAAAAGCAATTAAAATATTTGAAATTTCTCACATGCATACTAAAACTTTTTGTTTTTTAATGAAGAACAGTTTCTAAAATATGGGAAGAAATTTTTTACTGTGGAAAATTCAAGAGCTTACATGAGCTTAAGATTTGGAAATAATACTCTATGTTGACCATAGGTCAATAGCTCAGACAAAGGGTCACTGGGGTCGAACAGGGACATTTGAGTCCTACTTGGAAGGAATTGCCAACAGCACAAGAAACCTGACCTGCAGGATGTGGGCAGTCTTAACATCCTCCAAGGTCAGGAGCAATGTCCAGCGACCAAGAGGCCCCCTCCCACCCCAGCCAGAGTTAATTAAGGGTACGAAAACTTTCCTTCCATCAGCAAGCACTCATTATATGGTTTTCTTCAACAGGTGCTAAATTATAAAAGGGCTATCTACAGGAAAAGTAAGTAATGGTTTTCCAAAGTTCCGTTAATCACATACTGATCAAACTATTACACTTTATAATTTACACGAAATGGAAGTTAATTTGCTAAAATGATAAAGATCCAAGATCAAAGACAGTAGCATGCTAAAGATACACAGTATTTAGAACAAGTTGATTAAATCTTCACCAAAGCAAAAGAAACTTTATCGAATCTCTTGGAGAGTTGCCTTTCTCAATGAGAACAGCTGTGAACACTGCTGCCAGACAGCTTTAGTCTCTGTTTCTCAGACCAATGTTTATCTTTCTTAGGGCATTGATTTACTTCCTTTCTCTTAAGGAGTCAAAGCCTGTGAGTTCTAGAAATCAGAGCCAGTGTCCCTGCTCAAATCATTAATCTACCCAGTGCAAACTCTCAACCATACTGGCCCCCGTGAACACTAACATTCTTGTGGCCTGCACTTCTTTCTTGTTTCCTTCACCCCAGGCTGACACCTGCTCCCTCTTTTCCCCAGCTCAAGTGAGATCTTGCCTCAGGGAATGACCTCACAAGCCACTCCTGGTCCAACCATCTGGCCTAAAAATCAAACTCTTCCCAGAGAAGATAAAAATATTCAACTAGGCTGGGTCTTAAATGGCAGAAAGTAAGGTCTTATCATGATACCACTGCAAACCAATGACCACCCTGTGCAGCCACAGGGCACAACATTTCCCTTTCACTCTATCAGTTTTCTTTTATTTGGAATACCAAATCCTTATTTCCCAACAGTGAGATATCTCCTGAGAATAAAGATTTCCTAAGCAGAATTAAAGTACCAAATCATTCTGGACAAGCAAAGTGTGGTAGTATGGATTCATCTTAGAGAAATTTTGTATAAATTGAGCATCAGTGAACTGATAACCAATTCTCTTTAAAACGCCATATAAACAGAATGTACGTTATCACTTGTGATTATTTTAACCACCAACATGGGAATACACAAACAGTCCCATGCTGCTCAGGCATTTCAACAACAGGCCAGCCCAGTGGCTAAACAGCAACTTCCACCAGAGACCTGTTATTCTCTGAACTCTGTGTGCAGACTTCCTGAGTAACTCATGATTAACCCAAACATTCACTGCCCTCACTGAAACACTTAGGTGGGCAAGAATGCAGGCCAGGTAAACTGAGTAGGCTGAGGACGGCCTTCCCGCCTGGGCAGACTATTCTTGGCCACTCACCCCTTGCTGACACGATGGCCCCTTTCGGTCATTCCTTCCAGCCCAGCCTACGCAGGGACGGTGGCCACACTCAAATATTTGTTGAAGGAAAATAAAACTGTCATGTTTTCAGCCAACAGAGAAATCCTGTTTCCTCACTATTAATAATCAATGCAGACCAGTTTCAAACGTGAAGATAGGATAATCATCTCATCGTCGCAAAAGAGACCCCTAAGAGGCCAGGTGGGTGGGTGTGGAGGCCCTGGCACCCCTCCCGGGCTTTGGGACAAGCAGCAGCCTTTTGGGCTTTGCTGCAAAGGTACCGCCCCCTGCCCACCCAAGGACACTGGACGCCGCGAATCGCAACGGTGAAGCACGAGGACATAGTTCAAAGAGTCGATGTTTTAAAAAAACATAAAATGAATTTCAGCCATTGAAATTCGAAATGCGGGAGTTTTCCTAGGAATCAATCCGCTGTGGTCCAGTCCTGAAACTGCCAGTTTCGGATTCTGACAATCAGAGGAACGACGCGGCTGGTACTCGTGGACGCGATCGCGCCCCCGGCCCTGGTGCACTGCGCCTCTCCAGGGGGGCCGGCGCAATCCCGGCGCAATCCCATCCCATCCCATCCCACCCCCGATCCCCCGGATCTCCGTACTCACTCGCTCCCAGCCGCTCCGCTCCAGAGCCGCACACCTGCCAGGAAGAGGAAGGGCGCCCTCGGACCCACCTACCAGGGCGGGGCGCCGGCCCGCTGCACACCTGACCAGGTAAGCGGCCGGTGTCCGCCCAGGTCCTGTCCGGGGCCAACACCTGCCCGCCCCATGCATCTTCGCAGAACGCGGCCGACTCGCCCCTCCAAGGCTCTCAAACACCCCGCCTTCTAACTGGGGAAAGTCCGCCCTGGAGCCCGCCCCGCGGACCCCGCTCGCTCGGTGGCACCAGAGAGCACGTGCCCGGCCCGGCGATCTCCAGCCTGGCACGCACGACCCCGCCCACAGGCCCCGCCCAGCCCCTCAGGGGCACAAATCCCCGCCCACCCGGAACCAGCCACGCCCTCCAGCCCTGGCCCATTTTCCTTCCCGCCTCGCCCCCTCCAACCCTCCGGAAACACCTGCCCCGCCCTTTGGTCCCGCCCTCCGGCCCCGCCCTACACGCGGAGACTCTGAACCCGGTCCCCTCCTACCCGGCCAGACTGGAAGCGAGTCACGAGCCCTCCCTTTCAAGCCTCCCCCGGCTCTTCAGATGACTGACAGCTCCGGCTCCTCCCCGCCTTCAGCTAACCCCGGGCCTTGTCTCCCGCTGGGCTCGAAACCGCCGACAGCGCAGGCGCAGAGGCGGGGGTTCGCAGTGCGCAGGAGCTGCGTCAGGACGCGCCGACGCGGTCGCTGGGCGCCGGTGATCGCGCGGGAACATGGCCGAGTCCGGGTTGAAGTCCGTGCTGTTCGTGTGTCTAGGTAAGGGGATGCCGAGTTAACCTCCCCAGGTAGTTGATGTGGCCCGCGTTCACTCTGGACCGGGCTGCGAGTCAGGAACAGGGAGATGGAGGAGGCTGGGGCAGGAGGCTTCGCTTGGGCCTGGCGCCCGAGTCCCTCCCCACCTGTCATCCCAAGAGCTAGTGTCTGTCACCTTCCATCCCGCCCCCAGATACATCTCTCTCACCTGCCGCCCGCCTGTTCTCCAAGCCGGGTCCTTCCAGTGTACCCGCTGGAATCTCTGCTTGCCCTCCACTGTGCTCCCTGGAACCCAACACTGCAGGGTCAGCGTTGTCTTTTCAGGCTTTCGCCTCCGAGCCAGTAACCACACTGGTGTGCTTGCTGCTGTCCTTGGCCCGAACTTAACAATGTCTCAGCTAATGGGAGGTGGGGTGCTCCCTTCCAGGTTCCTGGTTCTCCGCGTCTCTCGGTAACCTTGGTTTCCAGCCCTTGTGCAAATTTCTGTTTCTCTACATAGAAAGAGAATTTTTAAAAATTAGTAATCATACAGTCCTGCTCAATCATTTTTATTCTTAGAATTTCAACACTAGTCCCCCCCTACTCGAAGTAGAATCCACTTTCCTTGTAGTTTTTAGGGTTCATCCTCAGTATTTCTACCTTTAGGGGGGAAACAGAATTGTCACTAATCTAATTATTTAGTCTTCTGCCGAGTTTGCATTTCCTACAGAATAAAAGCTTTTACTCTTCTTGGGATGGAACTCTCCCAGTCCCTTCCTTACCTTTTCTCACCCGTATATGGATGCTGCCTTCCAGATCTGCTTGCTGGCCCACGTGAGAGAGACTTACTGCACCCCAGCTGTGTGGCCAGCTTTTACTGGATGTCCATGATGGGTTGTACTCCCTTCTTGGCTTTTCCAGACCATTAATTGCCTCTTTTGACCTCTTAAAAAGATACTTCATTCCATAAGTTCTTTGACAGCCTGCTGAGATTCCAGGGAGATTTAACTTTCTTGTAGGCAGTAACGGTGGCTTCTTTTTTTTCTAATCTTCACAACAATAGTGTATGATGCTTACTAGGTATTTGTAGAAGTTAATTTCTATGAGGAGGAAAAGGTACAAGGCTCACCTTATTTTATGTTGATAGTGGGTATCATGATTTTTTCAGGTTTTGATTGAAGCTAACTGGTGCAGTCAACACATTTACTAAACATTCATTTCAGGTTGAATACCTAATATCCCATTGATGTGTTTATTTTTGCTTGAAATTGTTGATTATGCTAACATGGGGAACTGCACTGGTTGTTTCTGGGGAAGTGTGCACTTGCATATATTTGTCTTCAATACAGCTCAGCAATTTTTTTGAACACCTACTATGTGACTGGGAATGCATAGAGTAGTGTGAACTCTAGGGACAAAGCCCCAGCCTTTCTGGAGCACACGTCCTCTCAGGCATTAGGCAGTGTCTGGTGTGTGTGTTCAGCTGATTGAAGTGTTGAAAATGAGACAGTGGGGGTGTGGTGCGTGGTAAGGAAGGCTTTACCCAAAGGTGACCTGTGAGTGCAGCCATTCTGAGCCCACAGGACAGTGGGTACAGTTTTGAGGTGAGTGCCAGCCATGTTCCAGAATAAGGAAGCCACGTGGGTGCCAGAGACTCCTGCAGTAAGTCTGTAGTCCCAACCTGCCCAGTATGCGATGCAAGGTTGAAGGAAAACTTAAGACAGAGTTAAAAGGAAAGTGTGAACTGGGACGGCCAGTGCTCCTTTGGCAAAAGGCACTGGCCTGTCTCTTTCACTGAATTTTATTATTCATCCATCAGGGTAAAAGGTGCAGTACGTGTACAGATGTGCAGTACATGAAATTACCATGGGAACCAGTGCAGGAGAGGCTTTAAAGAGAGTGAAAGCATTTTCAAAGAGAAGCAAGATAGACAAAATGTATGGTTGTAATTAGAGTTTTGTTCTTCAAGCTATGAAGGCACTAATTGTGGGAATGGAATTTGGGTGTGATTCACTCCAACCTCAGCTACGGATGTTATCTTGTATTAGCCCCTTCATAGGCCATTACTCTGGTCTCTGCTGTGGCTGTTAGGGGGAGGTCATATTGACCTGCGCACTACCACTGTGCTTATGAGATGCTTCTGTGAGTCACGTATCTTTAGTCAGATTCGCTTCTTTTTCTTTTTTTGGTACTGGGGATTGAACTTGGGACCTTGCACTTGTGAAGCACGCGGGAGAACCACTGAGCTAAGTCCCTGGCCCCTAGACTCACTTCTTAAAGTAAGCCAACTGAGGGATTTAACTCTTTGCAGCCTGCACTGCTTACCGCATGTTTTAGGCATAATCAGTATTTTGGGCTCTGGCATGTGGGCATGCTGAGAGAGCAGGTAGCCTTTCTCAGCCAGGCATTCTCCTCTGTGCCTGAGGACTCAGCAGATCATTTGAGTGACTTTCTCCAGCTCCCATGGAAACCTAACCAGTGCCATTCTGGATGTGTGGGAAGAAGGTAGTTCCTTACACTCAGTGGATGTTGCATGCTGGGATCTTCGAACTATAAAGAACCAAGTGAATAGCCAGGTGTGGTGGTGCATGCCTGTGATCCCAGCACTCAGGAGGAAGGAAGATTGCTGTGAGATTTGAGGCCAGCCTAGACTACATAGTTCAAGGCCAGCCAGAACTACAGAGTGAGACTGTCTCCAAAACAAACAAAAAACCACATCAACCAGAGTACATGCTTATCTTTGTGGGCAGAACCAATAACATACCCCATATAGCACATAAATACTGGAGCTTGGCTGTGTTCCTGGAGAACTTTCTCCATGGACACCAACATTGAACTTATATGTAATGTTGGTGTATCGCATGATTTTCTGGTTTTGCTCTTTTGTCAACTTTTAAAGCCATACAAAATTATTCTTAGCTTGTTAGTTGTGCACAAAAATAGTGAGTCAAGAACCTTCATTTTTAGGCCCGTTTGGGGTGCAGATCTTGGGAGGCCGTATGAGGACTGGCTTGCTCTGAGATAAGCCCTTGCAGGTTTTCTACAGAGTGAGGAAGGGAAGTCACTGGTCCCAGCTGTGGGGTTGAGATTAGAGTGGAGGAGTTGCTGCTTTGAGGAGAGCTAAAAAGGAGGGTGGATGCTTTCACGTGATAGTCCACCCAGAGGACGGTTGCAGCTGTATGTTTTGAAATGTAGGTGTTTTATTCCTTCAGAGCATTCATTTGGACTTCAAGACTGACATGAATAGAAGCATTGAGGTTTGTCAGTGGTAGGGCTACTGGGCAAGAGGAAGATTATGAAGAGAGCCTTTTGCTCTGTGAGACAGCTCCTGAGGAAGGCCACTCTGACTTGTGCCCTGGCCAGCATGGCTGCTGAGAGAGCTGTGGTGTCATTTGCAGTCCGCTTTTGATTGATCGATCGATTTATTGATTGATTGGCAGCGCTTCTTCTTGTGCCTGGACAGCTGGTGTCTGATCACTAAACTTGGGTTTGGTCGGTTGTTCTTCCCCAGGTCCACCTGCTCCACAGTGCTGGCCTTTGCTTTTCCCAGGGAAGATACAGCCACCACCAGTCAGGTGTGTGAGGTGGCTCAGCGATTTTTTTATGCTGGGAGTCAGCTCTGCCTTTCCATCACAGCTAACACTCTGTGTGCCCTCTCCCTTCTCTTCAAGGTAACATTTGCCGGTCACCCATTGCAGAAGCAGTTTTCAGAAAACTTGTGACTGATCAAAACATTTCTGATAACGTAAGTACCGTTCACTGCGTCGAAGAGGCCAGCTTGCACACCTTGGGCAGGAAAGTGCCGAAAACCTTCTTTTTCTTCTGCAGTGGAGGATAGACAGTGCAGCCACATCTACATATGAAGTGGGAAACCCCCCTGACTATCGAGGGCAAAGTTGCATGAAGAAGCATGGCATCCCCATGAGTCACGTTGCCCGGCAGGTATTGTACTTGAATTTGACTTGTGTTTTGTGTTACAGTGGGCCATTGACAGCGGCGCTGTTTCCGACTGGAACCTGGGCCGGGCCCCGGACCCAAGAGCTGTGAGCTGCCTAAGAAATCATGGCATTAGCACAGCCCATAAGGCAAGACAGGTAGAAGAGATCTTAATTTCTACTACTTAGAGTCCCGTAACTTAAGAGGGTGTGAGAGACTGACCCAGCCTATGTGTTTAGTGGGGGAGGGAACTAACTGCCTACATGTGCAGTTCTGAAAGACTTGCTGAAATTACATAATTCACAGTGAGATCACGTGCCAGGTGCTAGACCTAGCCTTGGTCTCCATTCTGTTACAAATTGTTAGACATTTAGGGATGGTGACTCTTCTGCTTATATTAAAATCGTTGTTAGGAGAAAGTCACGTAGTATTTTCAAAAAAACCTTTGTGGTTGTGAAAGCCTTAGAAATATAGGGTAATACTGGTGTTATGGACAACTAATTACAGTCATGCTGTACTTGTGTTTGAAGTCTACTGGAGTGGTGACGTACCTACCCTTCAACTTCACATGAAGATAGCTTTGCATTTGTGTTATAAATCAGAAGATATAGTTGTGTTTCTGACTGTTCTTCAGTTAAATGGAGCACTTAGGAAACTGACCCTTTCTTAAATGGAATTTTCATTGGGTAGAAGATTAAACATGTTTGAATCATTTGCTCATTCAGATCTCCTCATGCTCTCGTGTACAGTGCCAATTTTTGCTTGCCATTGCTTAAGGGATATAAATTTATTTTTCCTAACCCTTCAAAATTGTAAGCAATCTGATTTTAAGGTTAAATTTTCATACACTGAGTGTATAATAAAAGTGGATGCAAGCGGAGTATTTTAAATACACATGACTTGAAAAAGCAAAGTAGAAACTTTTAAGAGCAATTTTAATTACCAGCTTTGCAAGTTGTGTTTTCACAGAATCTAGTTCTTAATTTTTTGTTATTGTTCTTATGAAAATCTCTACAATGTTTTTATTTTTTTAATTTCAAAGTATTAGTACTTTACGTATCAGTATCATATCAGATCTTTTGTATGTTTACAGGCTCTTTACTATTGTCACAATTTGTGTGATAACTATTCTAGTACATTTCTTAAAAATCCTAATTTTCCTGGTACCTTCAGCCTGGGTTTAATAAATGACATTGTATTGGGGTTCTTATTTTCAACCCCTACAGTCAGTCCCTTGAGCTGTGAGCTCATGGTCCACTTAGTTGGGTGGAGGTTTTTATTATCCGTGCCTTCCTTTTTCTAGTAAGCTTTTCAGAGCAGCTCTAAAATCCCTTAGCAGCCCTCGCCACCCCTGAAGAGGTCATCCTGAATTCAGTCTGTTTTCCACTGTGGAGGGGCGGGGTCTCGTGCTTCCTTGCTCTTTTCTGTTAGCTGTGTTTACCGTGAGAGTCTCTTTTTTTTTTGGTACTGGGAATCGAACTCCAGACCTTGCTCTTGGAAAGCAGGCGGCGGAACCACTGAGCTAAAAAAATCCCCTTCCCCTACTGTGAGATTCTCTTACACTGCTTTTCACCACAGCTCACTGCTGTTGTTGGCTGCTGCATCATCTCGTGCTTCATGCTCTTGTTCTACTCTTTTGGACACACAGTTTCCAGTTTGGACTCTACAGACAGCACCACCGTGGGTGGCAGTTCGCAGGCCATGTGCTTCTCATGGTCTATATCATGGTACTGTGCCCTGTTAGGGTTGCGCACCCTCATGAAACTCACTGGGAATGTTCCCTCTTTTTCTATTTAAAAAAGTTTGTAGAGAGTGATAATATTTCTGCCTTTGTTTGGAAGAGTTTTATGTGGTCAATTGTCTTTGAAACCATGCCCATCCTCTGGCTCCCTGACCTTTGGAGTGTTCAGTCTCAGCTTGGAAGTGAGAGACTGTGTCGGCCTCTTGATCTGTGGCCTGATGATTTTCATCAGGTTTGGGAAATTCGGGGCTATTTTCATATTGTACTTCTCTTTTCTTCTGAGAGCAACTTCTGTGTATATTGAACATAAATTTCTTATTCTTCTTTCTGTTTTCCATGCTTTTTACTCTATTCTTTGTCTGCAATTTACTGTTAAGCTATTTTCTGATGTATTAATCCTTCTGCTATTTTCAGGGTCTGTGAAAATGTTCTCTGATTTCTTAGCATGTTACTTTATTGACTACTGCTTTAAGTTTTGCTTGTTTTTTTGTACGTATGGTTTTCTGGTGAAACTTACCCTCTTTGGTCTGTTGCCTACATGCCAGCACCTTTGCTTTACATTCATGCACATGTGGTCATTTGTGAGTCTGCCTTCTTTCTTCATCTCTGTTTGTTGATTGCTGTTCTCCTGAGGTTGAAAAGAAACACTCACCTTGGTGTGTAAACAGCCCGAGCCTTGGATGATCATGTTTGCTCCTGAACTGGTTCACTGTTGGAAGAGGCAGGTGAGAGTGTTGCCTCAGTATGGTTAGGTCAGCTGACTTGAGGCTGGGTCACAGCCTCTGGGAGCCTTGCTCTGCCCCATGTGCCCTCTCTGTGTGCTGAGAGTCTGAGGTGTGCAGCGGATTGGCCGTCTCTTGAGCCTCTTGACCTAGGTGGTGGAGGGCCTGGCTAAGGGGTGAGGAGAAAGCAGGTGAGGCATCCTTCTTTCTAGGACATGTGCCCCTCCAGGGCTGGCTGTCCTCTTGTCCTCCAAGCCTACTGCAAGTCAGTTGGTGTCCTGCTTGTCCTTGTGGTCCTCTGCCCACACCTTTCTCCTCCCAAGCAGGTTGCCACTGTCACCTCAGTGCTGCTGGCACATGGGTCCTGATCATTCTTGATTTGGGGCTGTGCTGTCCCCTGATGGACCTGGCAGTGCTCCACTTGGCTTGAGAGCCCCGCCATTGAACAGCGAAAGTGTCTCCTGCATTTTTAGTGTCCCTTCCTTTGAGAACCCGCCCCACCATCTAAACCACAGTTCTCGAAGTGTGGGCCTGGGACCCCTGGCACTAAGAGCTTCAAGTTATGCAGAAGCAGAAGATCCTTTGAGAGGGTCCCACTGATCAGGAGCCTGAGTAGGACAGCAGATGGGGAAGGCTGTTGATGGGCTCTTGGTTCTGCATCACAGCAGAATATGCAGTTAGGTGTGGTGTCAGTGAAGAGCATTCCCGGTGATCTGCAGGGTTGTGAAACGCCCTGATCTGCCTCGTGCTATGGCTCAGACACCAGACTGCAGCAGAATGTAGTGCAGGTGCAGGTAGGGGACCCATCTGAAACAGTCGCACTCTCCTAGTTTGCAAAGGATAGTTTTTTTCATTAAACAATAAAAAAAAGCAAAAGTCTTGATAACAGACAATGAATTTACATTATTTAAAAATGAGTCATGCTTAGGTACTTTTCAACTTTAATGATGGTGATAAATATTGGTAGATGTAACTCCTGTAAATGGGTCATTTGCAGTGGGGCTCGAATAGTTTTTAGGGCTGAAAGGCTTGAGGTCCTGTCTGTGCCCTGTGGACTCAGCAGGAGACCCACGCCCTGTTGCACACAGGGTTAGGGTGAGGGTGGGACCTCACCAACTCACTCCTGTGTCTGGCTGTGTGCAGGCAGAGCACTTTTGGGGAGACCTTGTGGCCCCCAAAGCCAAGTCACCATGGGAGCATAAGGACGTTGGAGAGTGTTTTGGCTTTTGTGTGGTTTTCTAGTTGGTTTTGGTCATGGGGTTGATTGGCCACAAGCCATTTAGTGTCCAGCTGTAAGCAGAAATTGTCACTGAGTGTTCTTTATGATATGTAAGTCACAGTTATTCTTAATTATTTTAACATCTAAAAATCTTGTATGGTTTGACTTAGTTATAGCACAAATTAAATACAATCAGTCCAAAAGGATGATGTTTAATACTAAATTTTTAGGACAGCTCTCATCCAACTAATTTGGAAAAATATATGTTGTATTTATATTTAATATTATGGTATTTGTCCTAATGGATTTTTAAATGTTAGTGTCTTAGGATGTTAATACATTAGTGTCCTTTGTAATTATTTAAGTGCTACACTAATACTACACTGGAAAAATAAGATTTCTCCTTTTTAACAGAATATGAATAACGAGTATGTCTTGCTCCTGTTCTGCATTCTTTGTGTAACACAATTGCCAGTTCTTTAACCAGGTTTACAGCATCTCCTGTATAGTTTCATTTTATGGTATTTTCGAGGACTTTTCAGTGAGGAAGATTATTACCGAACTTATTTCCCCTTTATTCTGCAGTATGAGCATGATTTTTTTATTTTCTCTTATTTTCTTATCTACCATAGTCAAAATTTACAGTATATTTAAAGTAGGCTTGCATTTCTAAATTACAGTGTTAAAGAATAGGAAGTTTTCAGGTTAGCATTAGGAAAAGTCCTGGATGGCCCTGTCTTCTGTGTCAGTGAGGTGTGAGGTTCAGTCAGAGTGAAGAGAGCCAGGGATTCACTTCCTGTCCTGATTGCTCCTTGGGAGCCTTCTCTGACAGCCTTCTCCCCATCTCCAAGCCCAGAGTCTCCTCTGCCTCCTGCATGGCCAGGCAGCTCCACAGGTCAGACCTGCCACTGTGGCAGTGCAGGTGGCAGGCCCTGGGCCGCTCAGTTCTGTAGATGAGAAGTGGAGGCGGGGAAGAAACAGTACATTTCCTACCTTGAGGGGCTGCAGCTGAAGACAGAGTTCGTGTCCACATATTACCTTATTTTGTGGACTTTACGATACAAAATTTCTTTGCATTGTAATTTGGGAAACGGGTTGACTGTATTTGAACTTAAAAGTGCCCATATAGGGCCAGAGATTTAGCTCAGTGGTTCCGCTACCTGCTCTACAAGCACAAGGATCCGAGTTTGATCCCCGGTACTAAAAAAAAAAGGTGCACATATATAGTATATTATATTATTTAGTTAAATACTTGGTGAGTAACAGACTTAGATATAATGGAGTTTTTTTCCTCCTGCTACTCTGGATCCTCTAGGCATGCATGATACAAACACACTATTTTGACTTCTCATTCAATTTTAGGTCACCAAGGAGGACTTCGCAACATTTGACTACATACTGTGTATGGATGAAAGCAATCTGAGGTGATGGCTCTTTGCGAGTTGTGTCCTGCTCAGCTCAGTCGTTGGCAGGCTGTGTGCTGGCTGGCATGCCCGTGATGGTTCCAGTGTGCAGCACTGTTTAGAGGGCTGGGAGCTCAGAAAATAATCCAGAGTGGCCTCTGGGTCTGTTTACAGAGAGGCGCCCCTCGGGAAGGGAAAGCAGTTGGCAGGACAGACCCAGGGGCTGTTATCTGGAGTCCTAGGAGATGCATGCACTGGCACTGCATGAGTGATTTCCTTACTGTGTCACGATTCCTGGACTTGTTTCTCAGCTTGTTCCTCCATTAACACTGCCCCCAGCCCATGTGAGGCTCCAAGATAGGAGGCTGCTTATTGGAGTTAGGTTTGTGAAAAGCGATGAGCTGGTTGTCCAGCTCTGTGCCCTGGGCCCTGGCACTTCATTGGGGGACTCATGTGTCACCAAGGAGGAACCTGAGGAACAGTGAGCTTAAACCACACCCTCGGGTTCACAGTGTCGGGTAGGTGTGGGGGCCGAGTCCACACCTCTGACCCCAGCCTGCACCCTCTGCCTGCACTCCCTGCCCGGGCCCACCCTGCCCTGGCCACCTCACTGGCGTTCACACCTGCTGTGGGACTCGGCTCAGTGTAGCCTCAGCGTTTGTGAGCCTACATCATTTCTAATGCATAGTTACTCCATGTCGCTTTTAATTCTCTATGCTGTTAATTACTCATAGGAGTAACAGATACAGTTGTGATAGTTTTGCATGTTTTTAAGTTAGGCCTATTGTTAAACTCATTCTTTTTGTTTTTCATTTAATTTGTTTTGTGCCTATTGTTCTCACTTGTACTGTAGCTTGTAGGTATAGACGTGTCTTGTGGTGGACTTGACACCCTAGCACTGAAAGAGCAGTGCTTCCCTGTGTGGTGGCTGAGCTGGGTCCCCTGTGCCTCTGCCGGAAGCACCTCCCTGCAGCAGGGGCCCAGTTCTGCTGCCCTGCAGCCTGGGCTGACTGTCCACAGGCTGGGTGGCTCCCTGCCTTTTTTCCATGCAGGAACCTTGTGCCAAGGCGCTCTTGCCCACACCTCTGGTTCCTGCCCGACACATCACAGGGCCCAGTGGGAACTTTCAGGTACATGTAGGGCAATCAAAGTGCCCTTTGCCTTTGAGAGCAGTGTGACTGGAGTGGAGCGTTCAGCCTGGACAGAAGCTTGAGGGGTAAAAGAAGAAAGCTAAGTAGCGAGGGTTGCTGCAGTAAATGTGTGTCAGCACACAGGGTAGGAAGAAATCAGTGGCCCTTTGTCTCAGGGTTAGTTCACATGGCTTTCCGAGTTCCTGTCACCCTGTTTGTGTCTGAAGCAGTATCTTTTTGATAGATTGTTTCACAGTGTACTTCACTGCAGGAGTCATAGGTATTGTCTGACTTAACCTCACGTTTTGTGTGAGAGAATCATGAGACTGTCTCTGAGACAGCTGTGGCACATGGCCACAGGGTCCTGTGGCTCTCCAGAGCATTCTCTTTCATTTCGAGTCAGGCCACTTCCGCTAGATTTTGATACGGATGTTTCATAAACCCCTAGCAGATGTCCCTGTTTAACTTGAAACCGTAGATCAGAAAACTAAGTTCATGTTTCGATTTTTCAGAGATTTGAATAGAAAAAGCAACCAAGTTAAAAACTGCAAAGCTAAAATTGAACTGCTTGGAAGCTATGACCCACAGAAGCAGCTCATCATTGAAGACCCCTATTATGTAAGTACAGTTCGCAGTGGGGGCCGATAGAGGGGCCAGCAGGTCTATCCAGCATATCGAATGGCAGGCTTAGGTCTCTTAGCTTTCTTTTCCTGTCCTTTCAGGGGAATGAGTCTGACTTCGAGCTGGTGTACCAGCAGTGCATCCGGTGTTGCAAAGCCTTCCTGGAGAAGGCCTGCTAGGGCTGGCTAGGCCCCTCCACTGGCCCACTCTCACCCCAGCCAGCTCTGCCCTCTCACTCCTGTGCTCAAGCCCAGGCCCCACCTGTTTCTCCAGACGACCTAACCTTTCTTCTCTTAAAAATAATTGTAGGTACAGATCTGCTGTATTTGCAGAAGAATAAATAAACATGCTTGATTTGGTGTTTATGGGGTACAGTAAGTGTTCTTAGACTAGTTGAGAATGTCCCACTTTGCCCTATTTATAAAACAGTGAAACAAATATAGAACAGACAAACAGCACAATGGAGCAAGAAAGACCCAAAGGCCCAGATCAGCCTCTTAGCCGAGGAAGACCTGGATACCTGTGCTACCTCGAGGGAGTGTGGACAGTGCCTCAGCTCACCTGTGCACTCTCCGCCCGGCCTCTACCCATCACAGCAGCCCATCCAGAGCAGCCCGTCACCGACATATCAGTGTTGTAGCTCATGCACACTCATTGTGCACATTTGTATGCATGTGTTCAATAGTGAATGTTTAAACTTCTTTAAAAAATTTATAGTAAAAGACACACTGCCACGAATTCCCCTCAAAGTCCTCCCCTTTACTTTGGACACACTTAATCCCATCATCCTTGCCACTTTCTGAAGCACTTCTGGAAGTCTTTCCTGAGGGTCTTTAGCTGCGCTGTCCTGGCTGCCTCTGTGTCCTGAATCGATTGAAAACGTTTCCCTCTCATGGTCATTTTGACTTTGGAAAGAGCCAGAAGTCACCTGGTGCCAGATCTGGTGATTAAAGTGGATGAGGACACACTTATGTTTTTAGGAGCTGCCTTTCCATTGGATGGCACTTGACAGCAGCCTTCTCTGTCGTTTTGATCACACTTTGTAAAGGCATGAGAGAGGATATGCTTCAGAAAGGGGCAGGAATTTTGGGATAAGAGTGTTTGAACCTATGGAGAGTATTTTGAGGGGGATTCATGGAAGTATGTCTTACTGTAATAATTTTAATTTAAACATTCACTGTATATTTTGATCACACCTCCTGTATTTAAGATGGAAAGAGGGATTGGTAGAATTGTTGGTTTAATAGTTGTTGGTTTTGTCTAGTTTATTTCATGAGGAGGTCTGCTTATTTGTTCCCATTTAAACTACTCTTCTCTAAAAATTTAATTCTGTCCAACGAGAACAACACTTGTAAGCAGTGTATCTTATGAACAGTTGAGGGGTGTGTCTGTTTTATATGCACATGTAATCTAGATGTCAATACAAATTGGCTTAGGTTTAAAAAAGTAAAAAAGTTGGAAAAGTTTATTAAGTTTGTATGCGTAAATATTGATATGTTAAGAAAGTTATAGCCAAATATAAGTAATTTCATTTCACTCTCAAATTCATATGGGTATCAGAAAAGACTGCTTTCAAGATAAACTGAGACGTTACAAAGTACAACTGAGATAAATCCAGCGTCTTCCTCCTCTTTTTATTGTCAAATAAAGAAGCATTTGAGAACATTGCCTTTTGTCCCTTTCAAGTGATCTGCGGTGTTCAGCTTCCCTAATTAGTCTGAATTAAGAAATATAATGATGAAAATGAGCCCATGGCTGCCCCATCTAGATCCTCCACTCAGAGTGGGTGACTCTAATCCCTGGAAGACCTGTAGTCAAAGGAAATCTGTCCTCATTCAAAGGCTGAGTGGCTTGTTACCAGAGGGGCAGGGAGATTGAGAGGAAGAGGATGTGCACCTCCCTGGCCAGGGCTGTGCCCTGGAGAAGACCAGGGGCCCAGAGGATACGTGGCTTTTTGAGCACACTTCCCTCAGAAGGGCCTTGGTATCCTTAGAAGACCATCTGGCTCCCAGTGGAGTTGCTGGGACTCAGAAAGCAGGAGGTAGGACTGGGAACGTGGTGGTGGTATCCCCACAGGTAAAGAAGTGGGAAGTCAAGCTCAAGTGACTGGCCAGTTAGGAAGCAGGATAAAGGAGAGCACATGTGGCTTCATCATTTAGCAATTGCCTCACAGTCTGAAGGCTATGATGTTCATAACGAAATTCCTTTAGTTTTCTTTGTGATGTACAGAGCTTCAGATAAACTGTAGGGCTCGTGACCACTTTGTCCTTACCATGGTACCAGACCACCATTGCTCACAAGGTCTGTATGAGCAGAATCTACTGCTAGGCTGACCCCCTGACCCTTCAGGTTAGACCCTGGTGAATGTTTGAAATAGATCCACCCATTAATATCGTGGACTGCTTAAAAGCCTTGAGGTTCCTCTTAGTTTGGTGTTTTCATAATGTGGGAAACAGCAGATTCAACCTTATTTGGGATATTTACTACCAGATGTGGCCACGCTATCTCAGGAGATTTAAGAAATGCTAATTGTCCCTTACAGGGATTCTTAGCCGTAGGGTTTCCTTTGCTTATGCCTTTGAAGTTCTGTGACATTCTGCCAGAGTAACGGTCTCTTGGTGGATGTGTAAGTCATGAATGCTTGTTGAAGAGGCAGTCACTCAAAACCATTGATTATAACAAATACTTCATTTATTATTTGTACTTATTTACAGTATTTACGTATTGCACAATAGCTGGAATGCTATTTTACATTTATTATACAAAGGACAAATGGGACCGATGGGTGTGTGCACCGATTCATACTCTACTGTCTGCAAAATATGACTGAACTTTTTTCTTTGAAATTTTTCATGCAGTTCCACATAATACTCTGGGAGTTTAATTGTAAAAGTAATACAAAATATCAAATCATATCATATACTATATGAAAATATAGTTTTAAGATTCTGCCTGTGTTTCTAAAGAAGTATTTTGTGATTTCACCTAATCAGGAAAACGAAGTACTCTTATTTTATAGCACTATACGTCAGATGTGGAGTGTTCTCAGTTTTTTAATAAAGAGTGGCAGGTATCATTGTTGGGTATGATGACTGAACGTTTAGTTGCAAACAGTGTCAACAACATACAAATTCAAAGGAATTTTGGAGGAGTCTGTCTGCAAAAATAAATCTCTGTCCACAGGGTGGATGTGCAGAGTCCTGTCTCCGGGTAGTCAAGGCACTTCTCAGGGCTCCTGGCATGTGCTCCATCACAGCTGAAAGCAGACGCATGTTACACTCACACCCACACTTGGAGCACCAGTCTTGGAGAAGCTCTGAGCTCAGCTAAACACGGTTACACACTTAGAACTGAGGAGCCTCAGTGTGCACATGTATTCCTCTGTGCTGCAGAAAGCTGAGTCTTGTTGACTCGAAAAAATAGTGCATGCAGTTCTGCAGCTGTTACGTGCCAGCTACACAAGGAGTGCAAACTACCTGCTCACATGTGAATGCTTGTGGGACGGAAGCAGTGCTGGGTCTTGTGGTCAGAGTCCTCAGGTGTGTGGGGCAGTTCTGGGAAATGGCTGGCTGTTCTTTCACCTCCTTGTGCACAAGGGTCAGCAAAGCTTGTGGTTTGTTTAGTCAAGATTAAGCACCCGTGTCTGAATACTGATAACCCTTTATTTTTAAAAGAAGGCTAACTTCAAGGTTACTAGGCTGTACTCAGGAAACAAAACCAGCTACTTAGGTACTAATTACTCAGAACTACACTTTATTGAAAATGCTTTGGAGCTCAGCGTTTCATTTAATTGACCTGGGAGTCCCATAGTGAGTGTCTGGGATATTAGGGAATGTCCCCTTTCTCAGGGTCTGAGGAGGTCTGTCAGAGGGGGTGCTCACAGATTGCAGTCTGCTCTTAGCCTTTAAGGGCTCTGGGCCAGGGCTGGGGAGGAATCTGACTCTGTCACCTGGAGTCAGAACAGGGTTCTGGGCACAGCAGTGGCCAGCAGGACCTGTCCCAGGTGGCACTTGCTGATGTTCTGAGCTAACCTGCAAGGTGCAGAGATGTCTGCACTGTATAACAGTATGTCACCCACTGGATCACAGTTTGCTACTGCAGTTTAAAACTTTTAGAATGCAAAGAATTACATCCTTGAAACATGAGTTATGAAACTTTTCATTAACAGGAATATCAGTTGTAAACTTCATCCATTTCTTGGCCAAAATGAACCTTGTGACAATTGTGTCATCTGTGACTGTCAAGCAGGTGGCCTTTGGGTGCAGGAGCTTTGAGCACATGCTGTGGACACCTCCTGTCAGATGTGACTGGCAGTGCGGGGGTGGGGGGTGGGGTGGGCCGCGAGGGCTGTGCCGGCCAGGTCTGCCTGACAGCCAGGGCTGCCTTCTCTTGCCACTTTCCCCTGATGAACCTACGCTACATGACACAGAGTGGAGGGGTGGTCCAAGCCCCCAGGACAGCACTGGCCAGCTCTACGGTCTCCCAGCAGGGGGCGCCTTGCATCAGGGCCCACGTTTTCAGATAATCTGTGTATGTGTGAGGCTGGCTCAGAGAAAGGCTACCTGAGCCAAAGAATGAGTGTTTCTAGACTCCCATGAGTTCTTTGCATCCCATTGGGTTCTGACCTTGCTGTGTGGCCCACCCTGCTGCTGAGGCTTACCTCATCCCTCCATGCACATGGGACTGACAGCCAGCCGGGTAAGAAGCCTCGCACATCTTTTATAGTCTGCAGAGAAAATAAATCACAGGCCCTTGTCAGGTGTGTGAACAACACTAAAATAAACAGTGGTGGGTTTTTTTGAAGCTTATCAACTGCTCTCACCATTTATTTCTTTTAAAATATACTGAATTTCCTGGAGGCAATACGAGGTCTTTCATCTGCAATCAAGGCTTCTAAATTGTTGATTTAATAATTTATGAGTCTTCAGTGACATTCACATCCCAAACAGAAGTTAGTTAACTTGTGAGGGCTGTAAAAGGGCAGCTGCAGCTGCTTTCTGCTGCGTGGCTCTTGGGCTCTGGGAAATACCTCCAATGTTTCCTCCAAGGAGGCAGAATATTTCCACACTCTGGGATTTAACTCTCAGGTCTCATGCAGCCTGAGCCCCACACCTGAAGTGACCATGACACCAAGACTTCCGCATTAACATTCTAGAGACTTGGTCAAAAGTAGCCAAGAGGCCGGATTGGACAGGATGAGGAAGCAAAAAATTAATTTCTTTCTTTTCTTTTGGTCCTGGGGATGGAATTAAGCTAGTTTCTGAGTACAGACTGCTGTTCTCGACACTGTACAAAATTCCCATCCCACTCGTCTGCCGAGAGCTGCCTCAGGGAAGACACATGGGAAGGTTTAGTCGCCACAGCCTTAAGGGACTTCCTCAGGATAGAGTTCTGTGCAAAGTTGTACTTGTTTATGAATTACTAAAGGTTATTTCTCAGCAGTGTAGAATCCTACTTTAGGGAGTCATTCATGAGCCAGTGAGATTCTGAATGAATGAGCAAACTGACAGTGACAAATCTGCACAAATGTTAGGAAGCTAACTTTACTCCTAAGAATCTCCCTTCTGGATATTCAAAGCACATATCGTTTGGTTCAAAGGGGAAAAATGATGTCACTACTAGTAGCTGGTCACTGGATTCCTGCTCTATTGCCTTCCTTCCATACTTTTTGAAATGTAGTTTTCTTCAATAGACACTGTACCATGGGTGCTGTCAATTATGAGCTCAGCAAATTGTAACTGCTCCCTTTTGCAACATGTCTAGAGATCCTGGTTATTCCCCCATTGCATTCAATCCACCAGTCTCTTATCGGTGCCGTCAGACCACACTGTGCATGTGGACGCCTGAGCATCTTGCCAAAATGCAGATTCTGTTCCTAAGATCTGGGAAGGACTCAGTTCTGCATTCCACCAACCTCCCATGGCTCCAAGCTCCCTCTCACTTCTGGCATTCCAGGGATTTTTCTTTTGCATAGCCTGAAGCATCCAGGAAGTGGTCCACTTCAGCTCTTTATGGGCCAAGAGTAGGAGGAAGCAGCCATGCATCTTAAACTGCACACACCTGCCAGCCTTCCACTTCTGGGCCCTAGGGTGAGCTGGGACCAGTTTTGGTATCTTGTAGCCAAGTTACTCTGAGAAAAAGGAGGTAGCAAATGTGGGGCACAGCACTTTTCCTGGAAAAGGGCTCTGCCGAGAGCTGAACCCTCTGCACAGGAGTAAGTTAAACCTCACCTGTGTATGAGAGGTTAGGCGCATGATCACAGGTCACTTTTACATTTAGAATCTGTACTCCTACGTATCATTGTAAGAGGATATTTAATCCAAAACACATACACATTTAAACAATAGAAAGGTTCGCTGGTCCCAGGAAGCAGGTTAGTAATTCTCAACAGAAGAGAGAAGGGAGAAGGGTAATGTGCACCAGTTTACATGGTGTGTGCAAAGGGTGGGAGGAAACCAAACCCTGCAGGGAGTACATGCTTGCCTGGTGCTGTGGCCTGAAAAGTCTGGGGAGACCCACAACATGATGTCCTGATTGTGTCTGGCGAAGTACCTGCCGCAGAGGACGCGGTTCTGAACTGTGAGTTCTACTGCTCAGAGCACCTGCTGCCTAAACCCAGGAAGAGCTTAGACTTCAAGCAGACCGGCCAGGGCCATTCCAGCCTAGGACTTGGCCACAGACTCGGGTGGTCTCTGAAAGCAGCAAGTGGATTCCTGCTGTGCCTGCATGGCTTTTCTCCTATAAGCCTTAAATGGAGTGATGTTTTATGAAGCACACAAGGAGCCACTTTTGGGGACATAAAATATGTTTTGTTATGGATAAACAGCCAGAAGCTCATGGCAGAGAAAGAAAAACCTCTATGAAAGAGCTAGGCTGAGGACGGATGGAGGATTCTGAAACAGCAAATAAAATTCCTGGGTGATGAGTTATTATCACTGATGGAAAAACAAAACCTCTGGTCAGCATAGTGGAGAGGGGAAAAAAAGTCCGGCCACAAAGTTCGAGGCCAAATCGAATCTACCCAGGTGCCGTGCATGGCAGCAGGCACTCCAGAAGCTCCCCCCTAACCTGTGTGATCTTTGCAGTGGGCAGAGAAGATGGGCACCCTGCCAGAGTTCATAAACAAAACGAGAATGTGTGCTGAGGAGTTCAGCCCATTCCCAGAGTTGATTAATTCCAAGGAATGACCATCAGTTCCAGAGAATGAGACTCTCTTCAGGGTGGCACTAGCTGACACAGGGCCTACTTATCTTGCCAGGTCTGGCCATCCTGGCCCGGCTTCCTGGTCCTACTCCGCAGTTTGGGGGCAGGGGGAGCAGGGCCTCACTTACATGCCGGGATGGTGCAGTCTCGGGTGTTGTGGTATAGCCTGTGGAAGTGTTTGCTGCACTTGGGGCTGAAGTAGAGAGGACCTGGAACACAGAGGGGAAAAGAAAGTCACAAAGACTCTGGCTGAGAGCAGGGAGGGGAGAGGGCGGGGGACATTCACCTGTGAGATGCTTCAGAAACTTGTCCTTCATCCTGAGGTCTCGAGGGACGATTTCTATGTGAGGGAGAGAGACTGTTACACTGCCTGAAAGAAGCACTTTTAAAATGTGATTTTGTGTGAGTACAGAAGACTGGGCACTCATTCCCTGTATCTCAGCATGAATGGAATGGGGAGCTCACATCAGGGGGTGCTTTTCTTCCAAGAGTGCAGGCTGCTCATAAAGCTCCAAGATTGTCTGACTGTCCTCTACAACTAGGGTAGACACAGGGACCAGAAAGATACAGGGTGAAGAAAGTTGGGTCTTTTTGGCAGCGTCTAGGGAATTGGTCACTTTCAGATCTTCATTTCAAAGAGCTTGGGAGTCAAATCCCATAGCATTTCAAAGTTCTAGAAAGAAAATCTGATATTTAGAAGGAGTAAATGCTTTTAAAAGCAGTGGTTAGTTGATGTGGTTAGTTAGGGATGATGTGCCCGAGTGGAGATGGGCATTGAGCTGGGCTATGGGATGGGCACAGGACTCCCAGGGACAGCTCCTCTAAAGCAGCCTCTCACCCCTGCCCTTTCTGGTTCCAGCCTTTGTCTCTGCTCCTTTCCAGTCCTCTGGGGTCACTTCCATCCCACTATGTGGGCTACTCACTGCTCTACGCTGTATGTGATGTGGCCCTCTATTTCCCCAAAACGCTGCCGCCCTCCCCACATCTGGGGAAGGACACTGGCCTCACACTGCCCCAGGACTGGGTGGAGCCGTGTCCCTAGTGGCACTCCTCCAGCCAGTCCACATCATTTTGACTGTATCATTTTTGACCCAATTGTGTCATGAAAGCATTAAAAGCTCGAATGCTTTCCTAGGAAATTCCCCACGGGGCAGCCACTCTGGGAAGGGCTTGACCGCAGGAAAGCAGGACTGTCCCTTCACAGAGTCGGGCAGCTCTGTGCCGCTTCCCAGAAGCACACTGGGGTGGGCACCTGCCAGCTCTTGGGCACAGACCTCCTGTTTCTGCTGGTTTCATTTTCTTTGAGAAAACAAAAACCCTTGGTTTTTTTTTTTAATCAAAACTGATTTCTCCTTTTAAACGTGTTTCTCAAAAAACCATTCTATGCCCAAGCAAACATCAATCAAGTACAACTTCAGGCACCAAAGCAGGCAATTGGGGCAGCCCCACAGCCCGTGCGACCTCAGCCTCTCCGACCCTGGGTCAACACAACCTGCCCAGGGCCGGGGATTTAGCTTAGTGGTTCCGGCGCCTGCCTGGAAAGTACAAGTCTCAAGTTTGATCCCCGGTACCAAACAAACAAACAAACAAAACAAACCATGTCAACACAACCTGCCCAGCACACTGGCCCACTGCCCCTTGGATTCCACACAGCCAGAACCCCCAACCCCTCCGCTCCTTGCTCCACACAACCTGCTGGGGCTCTCACACACTCTACAACTCTCGGTCCACACTGCCTAGACCTCCACCCCCTCTGCCCCTCAGGGTGCACACGGCCCGCCCGGACACTCACCCACTCTCTGCTCCTCTGGGTCCGCCCCGTAGTCGGCTGCCTCCCTGCGGCCGAGGGCGAGGTCCTGCTGGCCGAGCAGCTGCAGCCGCTTGGCCTCGTTAGGGTGCGACTTGCGCAGCTCCTGGGCCAGCTCAGCCAGCAGCAGCCGCAACAGCGCGCGCCGGTCCGCGGAGCCCCGGGGTTGCGTGCGCCCCCGCCCCGGCCCCGCCGTACCCAATACAAGCAGCAGCCCGAGGAGCAGGGGCCGCCCGGGCGCGCGCATGGCCCCGCCGCGGGGGACAGAGGGCGCGCGGGTCCCCGGGTCCCCTGGGCCACCAAGGCCGCGCCGCGCAACTTTCTCCTCCGCTCTGGCTTTGGGCCTGGGCTCACGCCGCCACCTGCGCCCGCAGGAACTCTGTGCCGTCGGCCGGGCTGGGTCCGCGCGCCTGGATCGGGGTGCGCCTGGGTCCGAGTGCCTGGGTTCCAGTGCGCCGGGGTCCGCGAGTCCCCGGGTTCAAGTGAGTCCTGGTTCGGGGGCTCCCGGGTCTGAACGCGCCCCTGTCCGATTCCCCGGGTGCCAATGCGCCCTGGTCCGCGTGCGCCCGGCTCCGTGCGCCCTGGTCCGCGTGCCCGGGTCCGTATCCGGCCGGCCCGTGTGTCCCTCGCCGAGCGCAGCAGGGTCGCGGGACGCAGGTGGTGCCGCTCCAAGTGGACCGCGGTGGCCCGCTTCTTATGCCCGCGGCCGCCGACGCAGGCGGGTCTCCCGGCGCAGCGGCTTTAATCAGCGCGCCGCGCGCTCGGCCGCCCGACGCGCGTCAGACCCCCCAGCCCGCGCCCCGCGCCCCTCCTCCCGCCCCGCCCGCCTCCCCGCCCCTCCTCCCCGGGTTCCTGTCACTTGTGACAGGATGAGAAGAGACGCCTTTGCCGGGAACTCGGATCTGTTGTGTCTGAATGTAGAGCTTGGGCTTTTAAAGAGGAGTCGCCCGAATGCCTGGCGTTTCCTAAGTGGATTCGAGCCACTCGTGTCGGGACCCGCAGGCGTGGCACGGTCTACCCCGCCCGCGAGCCCGACCGCGGAAGGGACGCTGGAGACGCACCTGTGAGACCCTTTTTCTTGTAAAACGCGTTATCAGGCGAGTGCGCACTTTCCTGTCTTACAGGCGCCGTCTGGGAAGGAGCTGGACGTCCCTCGAGCTGTCCAGCTGGGAAAGGTGCGCTCTCCGACCCGAGGGACCGAGCGCAGGCGGGTGGAGCCTCTCCGGGCAGGTGCACACCGCTGCCGACCGCTCCCACGCACGTGGACGGCTGGACCCAGTCCCTGAGGCCGCCAGTCGGTCCGTCTGTTCGTCCTGTGGCCGTCCGCCTCCTGGCCACCGCCCCTCCCCGCACTGGGTCGTTTCCCCGGGAAGAGAAGATGTTCGCCGCGCGGGCGGGCAGAGGTGGAGACGGCAAAAGGGACCCTTGTGTGTGCGCCTGTGTCTTGGCGCTCCTCTAAACCAAAGGGTTTGGTTTCCAAGTGAGGAGTTTTGTTTTATTTTGGATATTTTTGTTTGCTTGCTTGCTTGGTTTGTGTTGTAATTTCTTTCTTTCTTTCTTTCTTTCTTTCTTTCTTTCTTTCTTTCTTTCTTTCTTTCTTTC